AAAGGAAAACATAATAATGTATTCAGGCATGTTTTTTTGACTTATGCTAAATTTATTGAAAAAGAACTTACCATACTGATAACGAACTAAAAACTGTCGTTAAATATACAGTGAATTGACAAATTCCATTATTATGAAATATAAAAACATGTATATTTTCAAGCCAAATAAGTCCCAAACATAGTAGATAACCATTGTCAGATATAGAAAGAGCAGTTAAATATAAACTACAACTTAAACGTCTAAATGATATTAAGAGAAAAAAACAAATTAATTCAGTTTTTTTCTTCATTGTCTATCAGTATTATTTTTCTCATACCTTAATTTACTTCGAACAAAAACATAACATGATATAGAATTACCAATAAAACCAAAAATGATAACAATTGCCATATAAACAACACCGAAACGTTTAAGTAAATGTTGAAAATATTTAATTGAATTTCCATTTGAATCGATATTCTGCATAGCTATCGTAGCTACTGATATAACAGATGAATCAGTATAGATGGTTGCATTTAGTCTTGGCATTTTTATCTAAAGAATAAAAAGCAACATGAATTTTGGAATAATAACTATTCTTTTTTTTTCATTAGAAAGGATGAAAAAATAGTTTAAAAAGAGAGATCACAAAGTCCATAGATATTTATAATAATAAGAAGAAAAAAACAACAGACTATTTCTAAATTTATCGGATTATAACAAACAGTGTGGGTAGAAAGGACATGATTACTAATAGCTAACAGTGTGCATCTATCATGTTACTATATGTTCAATGGGATGCAAAAAAAGAGAAAAGAGAAAACTTACATATTCATCGTAGTGATGGCATAACTTATTCAGAAAAAGTAAGCAGGAGGATATTCCTAACAGCTAGATTCGTAAACAAAAGTATATATAATTGTTCTAGTTAGTTAATCAATAGAACAAAAGAATACAAAAGAAGTCGTTACTTTTAGACTTATAAAAACCTTCGATATGTCATCGAACTATTCATTTTACTTAGTTCGATTATTAATCTATGTCTGATTATTTCTTAGATCTTATCAGTCTATTCTAATATAAATAAAAAAAAGAAGAAGAAAAGAAAAGAAGTGTATGCTTCAATACTTGTTGAATCAATTATATAAGAATCATAAGAAAACTCTCATGTGTCTATTTTCTACTCATTATATTTGTTCGTTCTCATCATCACATTTATTACTAGTGTTATTACTAAAGGATACAATATCGTTTAAACGAGATTTTCTTCTCCTCCTTTGCTGTTCTTTCTCTTTACACTTAATGCATTCTTATGAACTTTATCGTGTACTCTGCATGCATTTTATATTATTAATCTGAATGGGATTCTTTAATGAACACAACAATACCTGATTCATGTGATGTACCTTAATAGGAAAATGACAAATATACATAAATAAATTTCAAGAATATTTGTTTTAGACCTTATTAGCTAGTCCTTCATTGTCTTTATTCTCATTACCTTCTAACTAATTTATGTCATTTTAATTCTTATAAAAAAAAACTAAACATAATGAAAAACAACGTCTTATTGACTTCAATTCATTCTTTGAATATTATTAATATTTTTCTCTATTATACATACATATATTTCGTACTTGTACGGGATTCATTGTTAAAGGAAGAAGACAAGGACATCATTTACTTTTCGAATATTTTATTTTTAATGAACCTCAAAAATAATTGACAAGAAAAGTAGAAGAAGAAGAAGAAGTAATATTTATGCGACTAGATTTTATGAATAGATATATATGTTCGGTTGCATGCAGATAGTGCACCTAAAGCATTAGATTACCTGTCGTTGTCAAAAATTGTCTGTTTGCTTCAGGCGATATACGAGATAGATAAACATAATCTAGTGTAGCAATGACAAGCACACAGCAACTTCGAACATATGCGCATGCACTTATCATAAAAATGGATAATCGATATACTACTAGATGTAGTGTTGCCATTTATTTGTGCATTTAATATATCTTTTTGAACGACTGTCATGACCATGAAAATTGATATTATGAACATGTCTTATTTACAAAAGATATGGGCGACATAGAAATGATATACAACAGCAATAGTAGTAGTAGGAGTAGCACTAGTAGTAGTAGTATTATTATTAATAATAGTGATAGTAAGAAGTAGAAGTAGAAATAGTGAAGCTTTTAGTGTCAAATGAGAAAAAAGTATAGGCACTACTATCATCATAGAATCAAATCAAGGCCTTGACTAATTGAGACATACACATACATCATAGGCTAAGGCCGTCGATACCACACACGTCGACCAGTCTTTTTAGAAGAAGTTCACTTTCTCTTCTTTTCTCTTATATTCAACCTTCGCTTGTCGGCTTTGATTACACGACAGCATCAGAATGAAATACAGACAACTACTGTAGAATACTATAATGGACAGACAAGTATAAGGTGGAGTAGATATTGTAATCTCCACCTTATTATAATCTATATCAATCTACACGACTACTATTTCGATTAAATATAATGAGTGTATGTTTCGCATGAATTGAAAGTGAACATTCATTGATGTTTGATAAAAAAAACATATCAGATTGTTTTTTATTGAAGGCTTGAAATATTCGTGTTTGAATAATGTTTCATAACACGTTTTTTGATATGTTAACTTTGAAAAAAATCGTTTTTATTCTAATGATTGTTCAATAGATTATATCATTTTAACTTAAGAGATACAAGGCACATGTATGATTGAACTATTAATAGAGCGAATAATATAGTGTCATATTGAGATTTGATCATATCTTAGATAAAAAGCAACATAATTTTTTTAATGAAAATACACAATGATGGACATATACTACTCTTATACATTGGTTAAGAAGACTTTTTTTCAATACATTCATCTATAGTTACGAAATAAGAGATAGATTAGGTATGTGAATGCCAAAATATGAGCAAAGAACAAACATATAGTAGGCGTATAAGTACTTGAAACAATTGACGCTAATGAACGCCAATCACAAATCTATTATAGGAAAACTTGCATTATTAATATGTCAACGCCATACAATTGAATGTTCTTATTGTATGCATGTGTATAGGAAAGAGAATATATATATATATATATATCTTCTATAAACGAATCAACGTCATACATCACAAATCCATATGTATGGATGTTAACATCAATATTGATAAAAATCTCTTGACAAAAACATCTTAATTTAATTTTCGTTATCTCATTGTACTCTCATAACTTCATGAACTTATAATTGACTATATTCATTAACTTCTCAATCAAGAATAAAAAGAATTGTATAGGATATCTAACATTGAATATATATATATATACAATTATCTATGAATTTTTCTCTCATAGTACTGATATATCAATGACTTTCTCAATTGTAAGCTGAATACATGAAACTTTTCATATAATCTATACACAGATGACATTTAGTTTTAAGTACAATCCTTCTTCTTTCTTTTTTATTAAAAACAAAAAATAAAATTGCATTATTTATGCTTTTAATTTGTTATTAAAAGTAAGTTCTTTATACTTCGTATAAGAAATGTAAAAGTATGATGAGTTCAATTTTATATTACTTTTTGATTTAATATCAATATTTTATTATTTTACTGCAATTATTCTTTTGTAATAAATTGAAAATAAAGAATTTTCTTTTATGAATTGTTTCTTTCACTCTCTGATCAATAATTTATAACAACACTTATCATTTTTTTACTCAATGCCGCTTATATTTCGACTCGGAATATTATCATTGAATAAGAACAGTAATATCAATCAGTGAAATATATTCAACAGATATATTATTAGCTACTACTAACTAATCTTACTATTAAGGAATTATTAAGAAAAATTTACGTTCAAATTATTTGCTATTACAACTGAATAAATGACAAAAAACAGCTTCAATGAATAGTAATATGAGAAGATATTATTAGCAAGTCAAGTGTTTGTACTAATGCTTTGATTAAATAAAGATCAATCATATCTAGACCAATGACTAATACAATCGAGTTAGTTAATAAGTAATTCTAAGAACGAGTATTTAAAAACAGATTCCTATGATTTTCATCTCTTCTAAAATTGAACTTACATATTATTATGATTTCTAACTGAAACTTTTCCTAAAAATAGATTTATATCACTTAACAGATAGAATCGAAAACTTTTCTTTTGTTTAGACAAATAGATAAATAATAATATAAACATACGTTTTAATTGTTGTTGAAAAAAGAGTTTTATAAAACAAAAATCGTCAGAAACTATTTGAATAAAAATATAAAATAGTGTCGAACGGTATTTATTAATAATACTAGTAATACATATTTCGATTTTTTGTTATTTATAGTAGATTATAGATCGTATCCATAATGGTCGTATGTCATAAAAGACTAAAAACAACACTCTATCATAATTAACATCAAGATACTATTTTATCAGTATCAAAACAAAAACTCATCGTGTATGTTTACTTCCACTATACGTTGAAAGAATGATGGAAATAACATGATAACTTCCTCTCCTCCTTCTCTATTACACCCTACTATCAATAGTACTATCCATGTATCGGATATTACCCTTATCAACAATTGATTTTTATGACACTAATTTTTCATTTGAAAATAGATTATAGATAAAAACAAAAACACTTCTGCTTCTTTTCTTCTAACAAGATAATTGTCCGATAGAAAAAAACAATATCTATATATATATACGAAATTTGGTCATTTACAAGTAAATTTATTATCATTAATTTTTTTTTTATGAACTTTTTTTTAATTTTAATCTATTACAAAAAAGAAAGAAGAAGTAAACAAATAAGCAAACAAGCAAACGAAAGCATAGAAAAGATTGAAAGTCGACTGAATTTCATTTTTTTTTGTATCATTATGATCAACTCATCGTAAATGGAAAGCAAGTTATTCAACAAGTAACACAACTGTACATAATAAAAAAAAAACAAACACAAATAATTGAAAAAATCACAATGGTACTTCTTCGAATAAAGAAAATGGTTTTCGACGATATTCAAGAATTGATTCAAGCACCCAATCAGATGATACAAAATGTATTCCTAATGAACGGCATTGATCATAATTATTACGTCTTTCAGAAACATATAACATATCACATAGAACAATAATTTGATATTTATCAAGTAAACGTTGTGTTACACATGTTATTATTTGACCACCACATGTTGTTATTAAATCTTCTAAACGTTCATTTGTCATTTGTATATCAGAATTTTCTGTACATTTTATCATAAAACAAATATTTTGAAAAAGTGAATGACGTTTTGATATTAAACGTGAACGATGCGGACCACCATGTGGATGAACATCCGTATCATCACCTTCAATTTCATAAGGTGATTCATCCATAAGACGATCACATTTAACAGAATCTTGAATCCAACGGTATGATACACAATAGCAATGATGTGCAATAGCTTCAATTAATTTCATTGATAATGGTGAACGTAATGGATTATGTTCATCATTTGTTATTAAATGTGTTGTTCGAGAATCAATGGATGTTGTTTGACAAGCAGATGGATATTTTTCCAAAAATTTATCAACAAATTCCTAAAAGAATAAATGTAAAATTCGTTTTTTGTTTTAAATAAATAAATAGAAAATCATACTATTTGATAAGCTTCAAGACATGTAACAGCAATAACAATTGGCCGATTAGGATCAGTCTAAATAATTTAAAATAATTCATTTGTACATCACAATAAAAAATGAATACATACGCGAAACAGAATTGGCACATCATCGGTATCCATTTCAGCGATTGTAATTGTTGCTGGTGTAATAACATTTCTTAGACTTGATTCATCGGTTAATGTAGAATTTTCTTTTGATAAAGAAAATTCATCATTTGATTTATCAGAAATAGATTTTTTTTGACCGGAATTATTGTTTATTTCATTTAAAGCTGCTAAGATTTGTTGTTCAGGATGAGCAAGTCTTTTATGTTTCTAAGAAAAATAAAAAAAATTTTTTTATTATAATTTCATTCGAGCATCGCTAGAATCAGTCAGGGTTTTATTAATATAAATAATCGAATTATCTCTTTGATGATTTATATCTGTTGTTTAATTATTACAACAACATAAGATGTTTCTCTCTCATTTTTCTTAACAAACAACAGAATCTTCATAGAAATATAAACCTTATACATAAATTAGAGGATCGATTGATATAGATATTATACATAATAACAGTATGTTTAGTCTACATAGGATTTTATATTTGATTTGTTGTTTGTTATGTCTATGACAGATAAATACTATAAATATTAGCTAATATAAATAAATCTATGGTAATTACAAGGCTGAAATAATTATTTGATTTATTATGATAAGATAATGAAATATGAAAGAAAATTAATAAAATATATTGAGTACAATCTAATAAATTTTTATTTATTAGACAGTCTAGCATATTGGCCTTCAGCAGCATAACCTTCGAAATTAGTAAAAAGATTTTGATCGTTTTCTGAAAAGCCATTTGAACTGACTCGTAGAGAATTTTTCATTGAACCTAACCGATTAGCTGTAGGTTCGCATACAAAATATTTTCAAGTTTACACACTACACTCTCTCATAGTAGAAGACCCTTTCAGAAGGTATAATGTACGCGGTGTAATAGAAGGTCTCCTTGATATACCTTGGTATATAACAAATTCAATGTCAGACAATCATTATCAATAGATAAAATATGATTTCTGAATAATATGTATAGACAGATAATAAGATACAGATATACACACTAAACAAAAATCGATATCACATTTACTCTGATCTTGCGCCAATAGATACAATCTATATATATCAAAGCATAGAGTGTGATGATGATTAAACAAAAGAAAAGAGAAGATAATGCGTGTATGATAATACAGGTGATGACATACCGTGTCTTTACACTCCTGATTCTAATTATGAATAACCTAGGAAAACCCTGGATGAACCCTTGAAAACCAGGGAAAAGTTTTGTGGCTAAAATTCACGGAAAAATGTATGTCTTTTATTACGAGAAGGGCGATCCAGTAAATTTTTCATTCCGCTTACCTAAAATCCTAATCATTATGATCACGAATCCAAAATATCTTTAACTATACTGGTTAAAGTAAAATCCTATATTACTTTATTTACTATATGTATCATATTACAACTTGCTAGACGGCATATAATTGAAAAAAAACAAGATAAGAATAAATAGTTTCAATCACATATAGGATTGCTTATTTTGTAATACGACTTTACAGATACATTCTAAACAGTTTTATAATTTACATCTATATTGAAAAGATTAATTAATATAACGACTAGTAAATAAAGCTAATATATTCTAAAAAGAATCGACTCAAGTTGCAATGGAAACATTATTTTATTTCTTCAAACTATTCTATTTAAATTTAAGTCTATTAGAAAACCAAATTTTTATCACAATCGATAGACTAAAATTCCAATACTATCTTTTCTAAGTAAGCTAATAATATTATATTAAAAACTTACTGAAAGATAATCTGTACGATAACGTTTATTGCAAATATTACATTTAGCTTTATTACGTTTTGAAGATTTTTTTGTTATTTGTTCATCCTGATCTATATTCCATTGTTTATTTAAAGTTTGTAATGGTTCGGTATCATCATCAAATACAACAACTATTGAAAAGCAAAAAATTAGCAATTATATGTTCATCAGAATTCTATAATTAACCTGATTGATCACGTATTATATTATCTTGAGGATCATTACTATCTTCATGATCACTTTTCTCATGATTTTCTTCATTCATTTCCAATAAAGATTGATCTTGTTCATCTACTAATGGTGGTAGTTTTCCTTTATGAATATTTCTAATATGTACTAAGAAATTTGATCGTCTTGAATATTCATGATTGCATATTGAACAATATTTAGTTGGATCAATAGGTTTTTGTCGATTATTTACCCAAACAGATGGCCCAAATTTTTTCGGTAATGGTAACGAATCTTTTGAAGTAGTTTTATGTTTATTTTCTAAATAAAAAAATTTTTTCAAATTAAGAAAATAAAATAAAATAATTACATACTTAAACGTTTAAGAGCTTTTGTTGATTTAGATTTTATATGTTCTATATTATTGTCATCATTATTATTATTAATATCCGGAATAGTTTCATTCTCTTCTAAAACTTTTTCCTCCTCCTCCTCCTCCTCTTCATCATCATAGATATAAATTGTTGAAAGTTGATCTTAAAAAAGAAAAAATCGTTATTATAAATAAATTCTTTTTTTTTTTCATTAAAACCTTTTGTCAAACGAGGAATACGAATGACTGGTTGAGCAGGTTTCGTATTTTTAACAACAGAATGTTCAACACGATGTGTACGTCGTTTTAATTTATGAATTTCCCTCTGCATTCTATATAATATATTTGTCATTGTAATCATATATTGTTTATTAACTAATTGTGTATGATGAAAAAGTCTTTCAAAACGAGATCGACGTTTATTCGGCATATGTGAAAGATCATCTAGTAAGAAAAAATATATACTTTTGCATATTTTCAACAACATTTACTTTTTAAAGTTGATGATAATATCCGATGACGATCTTTTAATGATTGTTCAATTGTACTTGTCGATGCAACTGATGATGGTGATGGTGTATTTTCATATGTATTTGTATCATTTATACGAATTGATAAACGCGATGGATCAGGTGATGTATCACTACGAAATTTATTACAAAATTTTTTACATGAGGAATGTGGTTTTCGAACACCAGTGGATGTCGCCATTTTTCCACTGAGAATAGAAAAGAAAAATGAATCTATTATAAATAGAATAAAAGAAAAACAACTATGTTTGTAAGATGAAGTTAAATTAAAATATTAAAAAGCCAAGGACAAAGTTTTGCTTATTTGGTTAAAACAGTCATTTTCATTTGTAAACGATGTTTGAAAAGAAAAATTTTGGTTTTTTTTTTTTTGTCATCTGAAATAAGAAAGAAAAATAGTAGCGAACGATAAAAAAAACACTAACATATAACTCTCTTCTGAAGGCTGTTTGTTACAAAAGACATTTAAAAAAGAAAAATTTTTTTTTTGTTCTCTTTCTTTTTTTTTACGATAAAAATAACCAACATAGAAGCATTCATACACAAAATGCACACATCCATATAATGTTGTTTTTTCTTATTTCTATTGCAGATGTTTGAAGAGTGAAAAAGAAGTAGAACAGACAATAAAGACGATGTGACAAAAAGTTTTCAATGAATATACACGATGCTTGATTTTTATGAAAATACAACTGAACATTTAAAACTTTTTTTCTTGTTTGTCAAGCTGACTAGATGATGATGATGATGATGATGATGTTAAGGTAACTAAAGGTCCTTCAGTAGTTGATGGTTTTAACCATGATGGTTTAAATTCATTTGCATCCGGATTTAATTTACTGTCTTGAGATTGTTCAGCCTAAAAGAAATATTATTAGATTAAAAAAATTTAGGTTTTATTTTGTTACTGAAATTTTTGGTGTATCAGTAAATTCAGTTTCTTGAGTCATATAATTCCAGCATTCTTCCATTTGAGCATATAATTCTTCTTGCTAAAATAAATAAAATAGTAAACATTTTTTTTTGAGAATAAAAAAGGATTATAAATAGAACAATCTATTTATTAGTGTCAATTTAATTCTAAGATTTAATGAAAGCAGATACCTCATTATCATTTAACTCGTCATCGGAGAACTCATTATCGTATATCTAAAAAATAGAATTCTCAAATTCTTATATCTCACTTTATTTTGATCTGTATATGTGAAAAAAGAATACCGTATTATTATATGTCCAATATTTTGAATACTGAAGAAAGGTCACGAAATATAAATGAATTATTTCTTCTTCTATACCTCATTTTGATACTTTTTAAAGGCATCTTGTACAGCATCAGAAAAAACTGAATCATCTTCATCATGATTAATATTTGTTCGCATTTGATGATGACGATGATGATGATGATCTCTTGCATCTAATTCAGCTACAATTTCGTCGGGTAAATTTGCATCTTCATCTTCTTGAAATGGATACATTTGTTGAAATAAACCATTTTCATAACTAGAAAATGTAAATAATATATCTATTTAAAAAAACAAATTTTTTTTATAGCGTACGATTGAGTTCTATTATCAAATAAATGATCAGACATGGCCTGTGTATTTCTAAAAATAGAAATAATTAAAAATTAATAAACTTTTCTTTTTTTGTCAACATACAATGATTCATCCGTTTCATAGTCTAATAGTTGATTTTGATAGGACGAATTGTTGTTATTATGATTATTCGATGGTTGTCGTGAAGAAGACATCTAAAAATCAAAATATAGCAATTTTTTTATTTACATTTGTTTTTTATTCAATAGTCCTTCAAAAATTTGTAAATAAACAAATCTGGTACATGATTAAAGCGTTTCTTTCTTTTCAATTTCATGCTTGATTAGTTAACATAGTTTAGTATAAGTTACTTGACTGATCGAAAGGACAAAGAAAGAAGAAAAAAAACAACATTCGTATCGAAACATCATTCACTTGGCTAAGGTATATTCATTCGACTAGCAGTGATAGTAGCGTCAAATATATTTATACATAAGATTTGATTAATTATCTATAAGAGATTTTTTTTAAGTAACTATTATAAATCTAATCATATTTTTTTTTATTTACTTAATTATAATATTATACCAGATGTCACTGATTGTCAAACACAACCCTCGTTTTATTAAATGTTTAATATTTGATAGATTATATACTGATATGAACGTGATTTTTGACATTCTTTTTTTTTGCAGAAATTTTCATATTATTTGATCTCAGAATACTATACTGATAAAAGAGAACTGTTTTTTTTATTATAACGTAAAATTTCTTTTTCTTTTTATCTTTAATCAATATTTGTTCTACGTGAGTGTGACTATTGCTAACTAATTTATGTCCTTATAATATTTCATTATTCTGATGAAGAATTTAACATTTGGCATATATAATAATTAGAAAAGGAATAAGAATATTCTTTTTCCAGTAATATATTTCATAATTAATATATAGACTACTCAAGTAGTATTACTTTCAATATGATAATTGTACCTGAAAAAAAAAAGATCTTTTTTTAAAGTGGTTTTTTCATATAAATTTAAGTAGTTTAGAGTGCATTGGTTCTCATAAATCACAACAGTCGTAAATATATGTATATATATATCATAGCAAAAGAATCTATATTACAAAATAAATATTTATTATCCTAGATTTAATAGTGATATTCATATTTGTTTTCTTCATTTTACTGACTCATTCGATTCTCCTCATTTCTTTTTAATAAAAGATGCAAACCGAAATTCTACATCAAAGAGCATACTTCAATTCACTATTGTAAATTTTTTCATGAAATCTTAAGGGTATAGTGTCTCGTATGACATATAATTTAAAGATTAGCAATTTTTGATTGATATTGTTCGAACGAATTTATTCTAATTATAGTCACCTCAATCATTTTCATACGACAATCGTGACCATCAACTATTTTTAAGCATCAATTTTATTCCAATGATCAATGAAAAGTATGGCTTCATCATGAATTCATTATCATAAAAAATATAATGCTAAAAATCTTTGTTAAGAACATGCACTACGAAAGCTTCGAAGCAAAGTTTAACTTAATAGAATAAAACGACGTTGATAATTTATCTTAACCATTCAATATATGTAAAAATAATACTATAAAATATGATTTGAAATTTATTTTTTTCATAAAGCAGTTTAATATCGATATTTATCATTTATGTCCTTGAAATAATACATTGTAATTTATCTTTTAAGAATTTAAAGATTCTAAATATTCCTCGAACTTCATATATGATTTTTACTTATAAATATATCAAATAATAATAACGATATCTGTTTTGTTGTATCTATATAAATACATACTCTCTAATGAATTACATCAGCTTTGTCTTCGATATATTTTAAAATGTCTATTAAAATATCTGCTTAACCCTTTACGGCCGGCTACCAGAAGACAACAAGCAAAAAGTTATCTTTCTATATATTCTTTGTTGTTGATTTATAGGAATCAATTTTTCACGGGCGACTTTTTAAAAGATGCCGTACCCCTCTACGGCAAAATTGTTACCTTTTGATAACACCAGGTCGTAAAGGGTTAAAGTTAAATCGACTGTGCTATAGCTTATGCAATTATTGAAATCGGAATCATACTTTAAAAACTGTAGCATATTCTTAGCGTTCGCCCATTATATTAAAGATTATCTTATGATTTAAATACGTACTACAACAAATGATGATGAAATGCATCGAAATTTAAGAGATTAGTAGTATTAATAAAGTCATCTTTTCTCCTCTAATGAAATCAATTTGACATGTCAAATTAATTCCGATGATTTTCAATAAATATCAACTAATTTAAGTAATACCAATGAATTTCAATTGAACAAGAATCATCTCGTTGATTCTACCAACGTCGATATTCTAAAGGTAATAGTATCTCCTTGAATATATTACACTGATTTTAATCAATTTCGATTGATTTCTCAGATTGTTAAAATGAACATATACTACCATCAATTATCTTAGATGAATTTAAATGAAAGAAAAGTATTTTAGTCAATCTTATTAATTCTGCTGACTCTATGACTTCAATACTTTGTAGTTATGAATCTTCTCCTTCTACGTATTATATTGATATTTACATGTAAAAAATATCGGTCCTTCGTTAATGTCCTACTTTTTGTCATTTATGTACTGTTCGAACTGATCTAAGTAAACTTTAGTCTCCTTGTACAATCGTATATTAAACGGAAATTATAAACATATTAATATTACAAATTTCTTGTATAAACGGATGAAATACAAAATATTCTTGAAAAACTTGTTTTAAACAAAGCAAAAAAAAATTTGCACTGAAATTATTGAGCTGTACTTATGTAATGAATTGTTCTTTTTCAAAAAACAAAGAACATCAATCAATTGACCACTATACATTCATTTATACAATAATTCTTTCTTGTAATGCCCTTTAAAAATTTGAAAATTTTCATAAAATAAATATAGAAATCAGTATATGCGGACGCGTATTTAGTTCAATAGAAAAAAAATTTTCAGAATAGAAAGACAAAAAAAATTCAGAGAGACAGAGATTAAACGAAAAAAAAAAGAGAAAATGTGGTGTTAGGAATTATAATAGATAACGATGTAACGACGACGACTCTTCTCTCTGATTTTTTTTGTATGTATTAAGCGCGCATATACACGTTTACGTGAAACAAAAATTGATCACAAACATTAAATAACAACGACGATAATGACGACTATAGTTCGATATTTAAAAATTAGTTTTTTATTTTTTGATGAACATTTTATGTGGAAATCTGTCGTTTGACAAATCGAATTGTTAACAGACAGATTGCAAGAAGAATGACGATTTGTTGAAGATTTCGAAGGCTTGGACTACCACCATAAGCTCTAACATCTTGATCATAGGCATATTCTAATAAGAGAAGAAATATAAAATAATTGAACCTAATTTATGTTTAACTTACTGAAGAAAGCAACAAATGGAATAAAAGTAACCCAGAGACCAATTAAACCAAGTGCCGAAAGACAACAGAGACAGGTAATAGCACCGCCTAAGCCGCCTAATAATCCGCCCATTTTACCGGCTCCTCCGGCAGCAGGTCTTACGCCTGGTCGTGGTAATGGTGCTCTTAAAATAGATGGTTGCATATATCAATTATGTACTAAAAAGAAGGTTATGAAACTTACCGACCGTACATATTCTCACTCTACGGTGGACAAGCGATCTACAAGGTACAGATGAACAAAAAAAAATATATCGTTATTGAGCGATGCGAGAAAAAAGAAGGACCTTTTCTGTTCTTGTTTAAAAAAGAAAAAAAAAACAAACAACCAAAATTAAATCCTCTTTTAGATACTTTCTCTCTCTCTTTCTCTCGTTACATAGACGAGAAACAAATAAGACTCAACGCTTATTATTGTTCGAAAAAAATACACTACTATGTATCTTTTTTACATTCTACTTCTTTCTCTCTCTCTCTTTCTCCCCCTATCTGAAGGAGACACATCTATACGCATTCACGTCATGGTTGACGGCATTTTTTTCTTTCGTTGTGGTAATAGAGGATACTATAAGAGCATGAGAATAAAAAGGAACTACTGTTTCTTTCCAATAGGCGTGACTTACAATATGAATGATACACTGTTACCTATACTAATGATAAAAAAAGACGAAGAAAAGGAAGAGGAGGGAGAGATAAAAAAATGAAGCAAGAGAGAGAGAGAGAGAGAAAGTCAGGGTATGCGTATCAGTCTGTATATTTCATGATGAGTATGCAATTATATACGTGTATGATGAATAAAAAATGCTAAAAAAAATTTGATCATGCGTAACGACGTTGCAAAGCATGTGTAGGTAAAAGAAATATATGTTTCTACTGATGAGTGCATAAGCAGGACACAAATGAAAATCGTCCTTGATATGAAAAATTGAGTTGTAATGATCATCAATGTTTAGACAAATGAAATTAAACGACGATATTATAAATGAACATTAAAAAAGAATACAAGACGATCATGTCTTGAATAAATTATCTAATTGAATGACTTTGATCAATCGATCAAAAATAAAATGAAAAGAAATTTTTTTCTTGAACACATACGTTACTGTTCTTTCTTTATATAAATCATAGACACGGAAAAAAAAGGGGAGAAAAATGACAAAAAAAAATAAACAGGCATTTATGTATTGTTTAATAATAGCAACAATTTAGCAGCTTATTTGTCTTATTATATATTAAATGAAAACAATGATGATGACGACGACGATGACGATGACTGATAAAAAATGGCGACATTAAAACACATTGTACCTGTTCAAAAAGAAATCTTTTTTTGGCGCGCAAGAGATATCAAAGAAAAAAAAAATATTCATCAAACGGTGAGACGGAAATATAGTTGTGTTGCAAAAAGGAGGAGAAGAAGATGAAATTAAAAAAAAGTTTTCTCAAAAAAAGATATGCGTGTTTGTTATTTTAAAATGTATATATAGGTGTTGGCATAGATGTACGTGTGTGTCACCAGTTAAGTACTAATGGCAGAACCTCGTCGATGCTTTGTCAATACATAGATCGAGCAGAGAATAGCACTGAAGAGAACCATAATATTAAGTTCCATCGTCGTTCCATTACCCGAAGCATTTTTACGAATTTGCGATTGAATTTGGTCTAATTAAAAAAAAATTAGATAAATTTTAATTAAAAAATAATTTATTGACGTACTCATATAGGCTGCAGCAGCTATCATAGTAGCAAAAAGACCAAGAAGAGATAATGCTGCTAGACATCCAAGACAAAGTAATGGACAAGCAAGACCACCGATTATACCGTTAAGACCACCGCCTGCTGCTGGTCGGGGACCAACTACTGCAGGTCGAGGAATAAATGTAGGTCTTCGACTAAATAGAAGAAATTTTAATTATATCAAAATTCTTTACTTTTAATATATATTCTTAAATTTCAACTTACACTGCATATCGATTAACAGCAGCATAAGGACGTGCTCGGCTGGACATGATACTGATAAGTGCACGTAAAGTCCAAGCAACAACGACTCAAACTAGAAAATAAAAATAAAAGACATCAAACAGCTGACAATTCTCAATTATAATCTATATTATTAACACCTATTGCCTGTTGGCACTGTGTGCAATATTTCCTTCATGAGCACAGTCCAACATGCATACGTTTTCTCTCTCTCTCTTTCTTCTTTTTCTCTTTCTCATCTTTGTTGTTTTTTGTTGATTAGAAAGAGAAAAAAAAGAAAACAACCTATAACTATATATCTTTTACACGAAAAAAAAAATGTAAATGTATGTCCTATCAATTGGACTGAAGCTGAGTATGCGACAGAGAGAAAAAGAGAGAGAGAGAGAGAGGGGGAAAGAGAGGGAAATAGAGAGTAAAGGCCTCCAAAAACATGACAAAAAGGATGACGATGATGTTACATATAAACACACGTAAAACGAATCTTGAAGGTAATTCATAAGTATGCATGCAAATGAAGCAATGCGAGATTGCTCAGGCATGTCCAAATATTGATGATAGTGGCGGTGGTACAGGTAGATATTTATAATAAAAAAGAAATCAAAAAAAGACGGAGGGGGGAGAGGAAAAAAGGCGAGAGGAAGAAACATATAACTATCTTTTTTTACGTATAACTTGAATACTCATGAAGAAAAAAAGAGACGAAAGTGCAATATAAGTCAAGACAAATAAATGAATGCTATGCGTGATTGCTTGACTATGACAAGATGACGCGTGGGTAGATGAAGATTGTGAAATATGAGGAAAGACGAAAAAAGCAGAAAACATGATATGGTTATGATGTTGTCATTGAGATATGAACTGGTCATGATCAGTGATGATAAAACATGACTAAACATAGTCAATATATATAAATTGATTGCTAATTATTTACTGAAACATGTATTGATATGTAAACAAAGATCTAACATGATTTTATTTTGATAAAGTTGTAATGATTCAAAAAAGAGAAAAGAATTTCGAAATCAAATAATACTGCATCTTCAGTTTGTTTTATAACAAGTAAAAGTATGTAATATAAACATTCAATTACTACAAATAATCATAAGTGTCATTGTATGATTGACAATTCTATTTGATAATTATTAAATAACAGTTGGTATATAAACAATTACTTATTTAATATTTTTAAAAATTTGTTATTATTATCTTTGTACTAGAAATACTTCTTTATGTTAAATGATAACACCTCAAATTTTATACGAAATGGTATACTTAAAGAAATGAAACACTTCCGTTTTCAGAGATTATATTATTCCGTCTGTTAAAGGTATCTTAGTTGTTATAGAATCTTCATACATAGTTCTATTCAGTTTATTGCACAAACTTTAAGATCTGATAATCAATTGATTCTCCAGTATGAGAATATAAAAATAATTTGTATATTATTTTCGAGTAAAGTCACATATATATTCTGTTTAATAATAACTCTTCAACATCTAGTTTAGAAAATCAGTTAATTCTTTTTGTACATATTACTGATAAAGAGAATATGAAAAATTGGCAGAATCAATATTCTTGGTTATTTTTATTCATATATTCATTCGTTGTCAGGAAATTATAACATCTGAATCATAAGAAAAAGTTGCCAGTCTATAATGACTTTTATATTTATATTTTACAATTTTTTGTTTATCGTAGTTTTCATCTTGCTTCATATATATTTGAAGCAATATATAAACTGAATTATAAATAGTTTTATCAGAAATTTCAACTGCTATCTTTTCGCAAAAGAAAGACGTATTTCAACTAACAAATCAATGGAGGAAAAATATTTCTTAATATTATCTTTAAAGCAAAAGATTATCTAATAAACCATAAATCAATGTAACCACTATTCTAATAATGAGAAAAAATTATCTATGAATTGGAATAAAGTATTATGAATAGTGTTTTACTGGGGAATAAAATTAAATTCTATAAATATTTTAGATTATTAATCAAAATGGAAGTCATAACTTTAGCCCGTTTTTAATACTTAAAATGACATCAGGTATTATATTGAATAACATATGCTACAAGTATGCATCCACGTGATTGAGAAATCTATCTCTTTTTCTATAGATTAAAAAACAATCCATTTCATCAGATTATATCTTTTTTAACAACATAGATTTAAAAAATTCTAATGATATTAACAATAGCAAGCAATATTTCACTTTAAGTTATATAGATTAAAACCACATCTACAATATTGTGATTAATAATTAAATCTGTTTCTACTCAGACCATTGAAATATATATGAACATTTCCACAAATCTCACTCGGAGTGTTTAATGCAGATATCTGATATTTTGATTCAGTTTAGTTTAGTGATTCACAAATATCTATAGTTAGTAACACGTACCAAACTATATTTTACATGACAATATATTATTTATTTATTTATTGAAATAAGAGAAAAAGAAATACTAGAAAGCAGCTTATAATATGCTGTTTTTCAAAGTTATGTATATTAAATTATTCTTCTGTGAATTCAATACGTTTGTCTTTTGGCCATTCTAATGTATATTCAAGTGGTAGTCGACATTCACTTTTAGCTTTTACCAAACATTTCCATTCCAAATTATTTTCATCGTTCATCATTACACTATAACTTGAATTAACTTGTTTTGTTCGTAAATCAGGTACAACTAATTTCACTTTGATCTTTTCATATGATGATATAGGTACTTGGTCATAAACATAAACAGTTACATCTGTCAACTTAGTATTGCTAAGACGTGTTTCACGACGAATATTTTCATAATGAGTTTTTGTGATGACACCTTGTGTTTCAGCAATTGTTTTTGCTGGTTTATATTCCACCTTAATACTTGCATCAGTACCTAATGGAAGATCGAATGTATCTCCCAAACACACATTATTAATTGTACTATGAGTAACAAAATTGTTATCCATGAAAACTGATATTGGTCCAGCTAAGAGTTGTTTGTCTGATGTATTTGTTGTTGTTGCTTTGAGATAAGCGTGAAGTGATAGTTTTGGTATAACTGTATACATAAATGTCGAAGTAAGATCAAGCACACCAATTGTTACCTTGTGCGGTTTACCCTATGAAAAAGTATTTATTGAAAATCAATAGATTAGAAGTGGAAAGAAAAAACTAGACTTACATCAGCATCGATAGTTGATCTTCGAGGAATAGCAAAGCTGCTACTAGACATACTTGCTTCAGTTGTAGTTGATAGAACATTAACTGCATTTGATGTTTCGTCCTCATCTTCTTCAAGAATATTTTTAGGGTTGAGAGATGATCGACCTCGAAAACTTGCAAATGGTTTAGATTTTCTAGATTTTCGTGCAGAGGATTCAACCAATCCGCACTCCGAGAGACCCGCTGCTGTCAAATATTGTGCGCCATCTTTTAGGCTATCATAATCTTGGTAATTGTTATAACGAGGTTGATAGTAGGTAACTTTTAAAGTATTTAGTTTTGGTGGTGCTCCTCCAAGTGATGGTGTTGCTGTTGATAATGATAACTGTGTATCAGGCCAGTTCTCTTGACTTTTGTTCACCTAAAGCATATCATATATAATATTTTTTTATTTAATAAAATTTTCTTATTGACACTTACAATAATACCATAATAAGTTAGTTGTGTTCTTTGTTTTGAGACATCTATACTACTTACACGAACATCATAACTAGCACTCCATGAACAATTACTTATTAAATATGATATTTCTAAATTAACATCGATATTCTGTGCTCCTATATGTACGGTAATAGTCACTTCACGACGTTCTTTTCGACGATTTAGTTGACCTTGAGCACCATATTCATTAATTTTTGTTTGTAATCCATCTCGTTCTTGTGTTAATCTTTTCATTTCTATTTCTTCCTTTGTTGTTTCATCATCTAGGTTCGATAAGTTCTTACGATAAAAATCCATAAATTGTTGCATTGCATCTAAGTCATTAACATTGATTTGTCCATCTTGATTCATAAGTTTTGATGCTCGTCCTTCAATCCATGCACGTTGTTTAGTAAGACGTGCTACTTCTCGTTGATGAACACCAATACTACCTTCAATCTGGTTAAATTCACTTTGTAGTTTTTCTAATGATGATAAATCAGTTTCTGGTTTTGTATTTTCATAACATGTTTGATATGAGACTTCGAGGATTGTACATGCTTTGCCTGTTCCTCCACTCACATGTAGTGATGTTTGATCGACAAATGGAGAAAAACCTTCGAATATTAGATCATAAGTACCTTCAACATCAAAATGATGTCGTAATAGTCGTGTAACTTCAGCACGATCATTATAGACGGTAACCGCTTGTATTGCACATTGTTGATCAATATTAAATCGATGAGTAGACAGTTTTGTATTGGGTATAGCCGGTGCGGCTATAGTAGGTGCTACGTTAGTTGTTGTCGTTGCTTCTGCCATTACAATGTTAAATTATGACGACGGATTTTTTTTCAAATATTGTATATAATAAAAATTGCTCAACATAGTTGAAATTTTTGTTTCTGTTCTGTCTTCTAAAAATAGACTAATGCGTCGTTGTGATTCACGGCAGTAATTCAAGCAAGTATGAAAAGAAAAAGAAAAAACAGGTATACATGCAACTATTTGCTACATCAATGAGTCATACATATCACAAATATGTAATATTTTTTGATACGTTTTCTACCTTACTTTTTCAATAAGCAATGAAGGTTATTTCTAATTGTCTTTTTTATTAGCGGAGGTTGATAACAGCTAAAGGTTTTACGAAAACTATGAATAATCAATAGTTTTTTTGATCTTCTTTATATTTATTCTGATTAGTTAATCTAAAGTGCAATAACAACTGTATTCATCTCTTATCGTATAGGCTCATTATTTTGTGGCTTCTATCACGAGGATCTTCCTGTTATAATTTATATCAACAAATCGATTTCTGTGACTGCAGTGCACTAATTCCCAGATGTCGTTGATAAACATTGGAACTTCCTGTTACATATCTATACTCATACAGTACATATACTATTCGATATTTCCTTAATATGCCATATTATCGGCAACAAATACATAAAATGTAGTAACATTTAGACCGATAGATATTATGCTTGGTCTCTAAAATAATTCGTATTCTTCTCATATTTTGTATTTTTGTGTATTAATTTTGTCCATTTTTTTTCATATAATGTTTTAATATAAATTATCATCATATTTAACCTTATCGTGATGATTTCTAATTGATTTGATGATTCTTTCATCATCATGACGATCACTAATCAACCGTACAATATACATCTGTGATAAAACATTGCCTAATCATCAAAGAATTGTTTATTATCAATGCCGTTGATTCGGTCGGTAGTGTTGTCCTATATATTGACGAGATATTATCAGTAGTCAACATTTCTAGTCATTCAAACAATAACAATATGTCTTGTATTACACCAACACGTCCATTAGAATCAAGTGCAAAACGTCTTCTTAAACGAGTACATATGTGTACTGAACGTAGTTTTGTTTGTACACCCGTTCGACATACAACTTCTAAACGAAAAACCGTACAACTATTATCATCTACATTATCATCTGGTATTACTTTATTGAGTGCTGGCGATCAGACACTTATTGGTGATAATACTATTAATGATAATTCACTGTTATCTCTCGATAAGACACTTACAGAAAATAATAATAAAAAGGTATATATATATATAATTATTAAATTTAATAAGAATTAAATTCAAATTTATTTTTAGAATCTACACAATGACACAACTATGACAGCACCTTGGGAAGTAGTAGATAGTATGGATAATGATGGTTCTGGTTTTAGTGTTATTACAATGAATGAATCTAATATATCACAAATTACCGTCATAAGTAAACAATCAACGAAAGGTAAAAATCTTTTATATTTTATTTAGTATAAATATGAAATATATTTCTCTATTTTTAGCATCAACTCGTTCTTCATCACTATTTACACGTATTTTAAAACCATCAATATCAAAAACATCAACAACAGGTGTTAAATTTATCAATCGTTGTGTACGTGATATCGATCGTTTAAGTGATACATTTGGTCAAGAATGGATAACTTTACCAAATTTTGTTTAAAAACAGTTTTTTTTGTCTTGTTATGTTTTTAATTATCTAAAAAATAAATATTAAACTTTATCCACTTTTGCTCTATGAATCATCAATGTCATGATTTTCTTTAGGTTTACTGATTTATTCATCTTCATTATTTACAAAAATAGATGTTTTTATCCGTTATATCAAGATTGTGGTAGCTGAAGTGATAAAAAGATATATATTGAAAGTTTTATTATTTTAGCATTAGTATATCGTTTAAATTTGAAAAAATAAACCGATAGAAAATGATAATTGTCTGAAAAAGGTTTACAACTAAGAAACAAATAAACAATCCGTTGGAATAAAACCTTCATAACTCTGTTCATTTCGTATCCAAATCCAATGTGGATGTGTTGAATGTAAAATTTGTACAAATTCATTTTTTCTTACAGTTAAATCTTGACGAAATGTAGCTGAATATGGTTTTATTATTGAATACCATCCATCAATTAATGTTGAAGTCAAAGGTCCATTTTGTTCATCGTCATCAGTACAAATAATAGTTTGATCATATTCTTCATTTTCATATAAAATCTGACGACTACTTTCTGCTAATGGAATGTGTTCTAAAAGTGGTATTTCATCGAAAAATAATTCTGAATAATCATTTGCTAATAGATTATGTGAAACATAATTAATGATCGATGGATTACACCTTAGATGACTTGATTCTAATTGTTTTGTTCGATTAAATAATGAAGTTGACGATGGTAATGAATAGTGTGAAAAGTTACTTAATGTTGATAAACCAGAATCTGTTGAATGTTCACTAATCGATGAAATTGTATCATCTGATCTAATCTATAGTGAGAGAAGAAAAACAAACATAAACAATATTTTTATAGATATTTGTTAATAATTAATAAAATCATACATCGATTAAAGATTTTGTTATTTTAGATTTTTCATCACAATGATAATTGATCGGTGAATCAGACGTACGATTACGATTATAACGAATACCACAGGATGTTTCTAAAATATAATTGTATAATTTAAATGATAATTAATGATTGAAAAACTTACTTTTCATAGTTTTATAAAAGGTATTCTTCATTTTATATAAACAAGCAAATACTTTAGCTGTTGTTTCTTCCATTTTATGACGATTTGTATATTCATTACCTTCGTTTTCATACATCTGACTAACTTTTTTCATTTCTTTTTCGAAATGATAGATTAGTCAGATTGTTTCACACATTTTATTTTATTCACCTATCTTAGATAATCCATTTACGTCTTCTCTCTTTCTCGTTTTTGTTCATGCCCATTATAACCATTGAAATTATTGCCCATTGGCTATGTTTATATTTGATCTTATTTCAATTAATGGACTCATTTGGTGTGATCACCATTTGTTTGATGATAACTCATGTGGAGCAGGAAAGAGATACGAACTGTTGACATCAAGCAATACATAATTATTCATTTGTTCAACTCAAATATTAAAGCATAAAAAAATAATAATCATTTCTTATTTTGATCTCGATACAATCACATTCAAATTTTAATTTGAAAATCATTATTTTTTTCAAACAATTTATTATTCTAGGAAAGTAATTATGTCTAAACTTAGAAAAAGTTACATATAATTCATATAGAAAATATTATCGTGTTGAGTTAGATATACATCAAAATCATGCAAAAATATTTTTATATTTAAACAGTAGACTTTTACGTCACAAACATATTCAATTCACTAAAATGCTTTTTACAATTCATTTAATTTTTTGACGACATATTTCTATACAAAATTGTACTTTTTCATGACATTGTCTATAGAAAAAAAAATCATACATCCTGTTTTATATCATATATAATTAGAAAAACACTTCTCCTTTGTTCTTAAAATTGACATGATTTATAGATGGTTACAAAAGTCAGTGTAATTACTTCATTTAAAAATAGCGATGCCGAGAATATCATTGTTGAAAGAATAGAGAACTATTTTGATTACTCGAATATATCTTGTCCTTCATTTTCTAATAATTTATTGTATATCGATAAGAACGGAAGTATATAAGTAGCATCAAATTCAATGACTTACTGTTAAGTAGAAACTCGATTCAGATCAAATGTGTAAACCTTCGAGCTTCTGTTTTCAAAGGATGGAGATTTATTTAATAAATTATTCTTTAATCTTTAGTTTTCAGGAATGAAATCCAGACTAATAATTTTATTTAAAAATAATTTTCTTTTCACATTACAATTATTAATGGTGCATTAGTTTATTGAACTCATAGACACTGAAAGAAAACAAAAATAAGCAAATAATAATTTAAAAAAAAAAAGTTTTATTGGACAATTGTATAAAGCTCGATTTTCCTTCACTATCAGCCATATCATTTATTGTGATGGATAATAAAGTCTCATTGCATTAGGTTGTGTTTGTCGTGTCGAACCGGTTTGTTGTGTCAATGACATATATCGTCTATCACGAGTTATTTGATCCTTATGTATAAATTCTTGATTGATTGATAATCGTTTTCGTTGACAATACCATCGACAATTACAGCAGTTCTTATGTTGTTCTGGTGCTGGTTGAATATTAAAATGTACATACTCATCATCTAAACTTTTTGAAATTTCATCTCGAGTTGCAGCTACTTTATAAGTAACATAAGGTTCTTTGCGTAATTTTGTACAATCAATTTGAAAATAACAACACCATATATCACGAAATAAACGTTTTACACGATAAAACCATCCTAATAACATAAGTCGAAGTTCATTACGAAAACTTCTACCACATAAACAATGTAAAATTATATTTGATAATGAATTAATTAAATCAAACATAACTAATAAATCATAGATTTTACTTAAATAACTTGGACAATCATCACCGGCTGATAATTTTCTTTTACAAAAAATTAATGAAAGAATAATATCACCAAACCATGTATTTAAAATAGCAAAAAAACATTCGACTGTAATAACAAGTAATATACGACGTGTATCATCTGTACGTCGACGACATGGTAATATATAAACTGATGTTAGACGATTTAATTTTTGTACACTATATAATGATATCATATTACTTAATATTGTTATTAATGATGGAATAATACTTCCAAATACTTAAATAAATAAACAAAGTATTTAAAGAATAAGTTAATAAGAAAATTCTATTGATAAATCTTATTCATTATTCAAAATTTATAGTATTATATTAGTATGAAAATAGTTTTATGTTACTAATTTAATTTCTATTGATAATGTTTTTCAATATTATTTTTCCCTCTCGAATGTAAAGAAAACATTTATTCGAAACTAGAAACTTGTTTTTTAGATCTTAAGTATAATGTATTGATTGTCTTTTGTGTAGTATTTATTTCGAAAGGTAATAATTAATATCACTAATGTTCTTTCAATTATGAAGATTTTATTAAATGATTATACAGAATCAGATATTTACTATTCTGTTGATGAAATGCATAGACATCTATATGAATGAAAATCAAGTTTATAAAATAAGGTCGATTAACGGATTATATACTACGAAGAAGCTGACTGAAAACAAGTAGTAAACTATTAGCATACATTTGACATTCCATACAAATGAAATATCACTATTCAATTAGTTGAAGAATAGCGCATTATTTCCGTCTGTAGAACTTATTTTGTTTGAGACTATTCATGCGAAATGCCTGACGCAGGGACTTTTATAAAAAAAATTTTAATAGACACCCTTAGAATACTGACGTAGATCTGACAATTTTTTTTTCTATAGATTAGATTATTTTCTCATCAACTAATATACCTTTTATACGGAATTAAATTCTTTTTGTAAACATTTTTGTTATTTCTTAATAACTTAAAAGTACATTCAAGCATAATATGTTACTATTTATTTATTTACATGTACTTCTTGTTAAAAGAAATTTGATTGATGCTATGTAACTAAATTTTATTCTATTCCGTCTTCAATTTCTACTACTACTAATAATAATAATGATAATTCTTACTTAAAAGTAATGTATATCGATTGAAACTAAATAAACGGCTGTACATAAAATTATAATAACGATCGAAGAAATTGGGTTCTTGTGGAAAAAGACATTCATGAAAATGATATTTTCGACGTATTTCATTACGTGTCATTGTATCACCAGTTTTTGAAAATATAATTTTTTGTATTAAATTAACAATTGGTTTTTGATGTTGATCAAAATAATATGATAAAATATTCATTAATTCTGTTTTTTTACATATAGAATTTTTTTCTAAAAATAATGTTTGATTTGTTTGTAATCTATTTATTGTATAATTAACACATTTTAATGCATCAGATTGATCAGTCATTGTATTTGTTAGGAGATATGTTACATTTTTCATATGTTTATTCATATGTATAAACCAATCATAAATCATATTTTGATTACTTAATTTAGAACAAAATAAAGTTAAACCAGCAAATTCAAATGAATATGCAAGAAGAAAAGCCGATATAATAATTAAAATAGTTCCTTGATATTTGTATTTTTCTGTGAATGTTGTACGTACAATAAGAAGTTTTAATGAACGTGTTAAAAATACTGTTCTTTGAATAGACATTATGCACATTAATATTAATGAAAATCTCATATATGTTTCTGACTGTACTAATGGTACGAACGGTTGTGGCCATGTTTGTGTTGCATGTTCATATGCTTGTACGAGGAATGTTGTTAAGCAGGATCCTTTTGTATTTGTACGAAATTTAAATAATGTTTGTGAATAATAAGGTAGTTTCATTAAACGAAATAATAAATAAGTTGAATCGGCTAATAATAAAACAATAAAATAAGGCGTTATCATACGATAACGAAATTTTTTTCGAAGAAATACTAATATGCATAGTCCATTGCCTGATGAACCCAAAAGAAATAAACATATGCCAACAAATGTACATGATAAAACTACCATCGTGTATCTGAAGCAAATAATGTGAATGAAATTATATTTCTATTATAAAATTAATATACACAATTTACGAGCATTTATAATGTGACAGTTAATATTCACAGTTTACATGTTAGGCAAATAGAATAATTGAAGAATTCACAAGAGTATCTCTATCGAAAGAAACTCTATTAAGATATAGTTTATTGAATGAAATGGAAAGAAGATTGCTACTGATTAATATATATATTCATTTATCACGCATGGTTTTCGAGAAGATAAGACTATAGAAAAAAGATTTGTATTAAGTATGATTATTTTTTGCTATTGTATGATACTTTTTGTTCTTTTTTTATACAATCATGAATGTTGTTGTCTATTAAGTTTGTTGATAAGTAGTAGACTTAGTCAGCTATAATAACGTTATAAGCATGACAGAACTTTAATAAAAGGATTTAACTAAAGAAATATGATACAACGAAACAAGTAATGTATACCAGATGAAAGTGCAATTGAAACGATCCGGAAAAGTTGGGTCTTGTCATACTCTTTCACCGATCATGAAAAATTTTCATTTTTCATCAGTGAAATTGAAAATTTACCTTGCATTCTGTCACAAAAAAATATCATCTTCAACACTAACTGCTTCGTATCATCCCTGGATAAAAGAAGTTTTTATTCAGGGACGTGTAGAAAGACGATAGAAGGGAAAAAAAAGATGGCATTCAAAGAAAAAAACTTAAATACGCGACTAATCTAAATTTATCATCATAGCGTATTTATTTTTGACTGATATTTACGTCATTACATTATCAAGCACGATAATCTATTAATAACAAAAACCTAAATTAGTCAACTTTTTCACTAACATCAATCAATTAGAAGCAAATATGTCATGCGTTAATCTTATATAGAAAATTTTAGAACCATAATCAATTATAGCAAACGGATAGTCATTTCTTAACAGTTTTCCTGTCTCAAATTAAGAAATATAACAACATGAGATTTATTCCTCGATTCTAAAAACGAAAACAGGTATTTTGAAGTTTTGTCTAGGTAAAACAAAGTATTTTTTTGATTTATTAAATGCACTTGACTCGACCTTGTTGGTGAAAAATAATAATTTTCTATAGTGATGATTTTAACTTCTTTGAAAAACATGCGTTTACAAGAATTAAATATTACGCTAAAAAAATAGAAAAAAAATCAAGATAGCTTGTTTTGTTAAAGAATAATTTTCTCTTTCGCTACCATCCATTCACACGATAAATATATTGCTTAGTAAGAAAAAAAAACAAATTGAACTCATCAAAGAAAATCAAATTAATAACGACATTTTCAACACTACAAAGCACTTGTATTAATGAGAAAAAAATTAAACGTGTAACTTAGATGTGGAAAAATAAATACATAAGTGAAACAGTTAGATTGTATGGCTCTTTGCACTATTAATAGGATTTAAGCAATAAACTCATATTTCTATCAGATAATATTACTCTTTCTATTTGTTCTGATAATAAAAAATCATACTCATTAAAAGAAACTACATTATAATTAGAAATCCTAAAATAATATTCAATGAAAAAATCCATCAATAATTACTCTTAATAAGAAAAAGGTGCGATATTTAAAAGAATGGGGCAGAATTCTATTCAATACCTGACTTTGCTTGTTTAACTATTTACATTATATAACTATTTCTTATCCGTTATAAGAACTTTGTGACGTAGATCTAACTAAAGAATTGTTAAGTAACACGTCTGGAAATATATATAAAAGAATAAATAAAAATCTCGATTAAAAATATATGAATATATAGACTCGTAAAACAGTCTTAGTAATACATCAATACGGTTTGCTAATTTCAAAGAAGTGTCAGACATAATTTTACTAGAAAACTTTCTGTTTCCGCTGTCTATTTATTCATAAAAAGAAAATTATCGTTTCTTGTATGAATACATAACTAGTTTCTGTTGTAGTTGTATTAACTAATTCAGGTCGGGATGATTTGATAAAATATATTCAGACTGAAGGAGACTATGCAGGTCAAATTGACTCTATATATAGTTCTAGTTTATCAAGGACTCGTCTAGCATTACAATTAGTTATTTTCGATCTGCTACACAGAATTCGTCTCTTTTTACATAGACATTCTCGAAAACACATACATCTTGTGGTATATATGATGTACTATCAGTCCTGGAAGGGTTAAGATGACATTCTTATCTTTTCCTAAAAACGATTTGAAGATTTAAGATAAATGTACTTTCTCTTCGTCTGCAATAACATTGTGATGAGAATATATCAATCAATTTTGTTGTTATACAAATACATAAGATAATTATGTGATGTTTTCTATTGACATATGTAAACGATTTCGTATGTAGAACGAATATTGTTTGTATTGAAGATACATATATATTATTAACTTACATATGGCATAGAAGATAATTAAATATATAAAAAGAATTCTAATGATTAATGCAATGAAACAAGCGTTGCACGTAATAATATATTAGAATTCTATTTTATCTCTAGTTAAAAATAGAACTACAGTGTGACAGAGATTTTACCAGAATTTTAGTGTATGCCATGCTATAAATCAAAAAACCAAATGACAACATTTTACCTTTGGATAGATATATATTTAAACAGACTATCTCGGAAGTTTCAACTCAAAAACCTTTTACTTTTGGAGATATTAAAATCTAAAAAAAAAAGGAAATCCTACTATGCTTCAGATTATGTAGGTTATTTTTAAGACTTTATTAACTGAAGGGGGAGAATGTTTTTTGAAATGAAAATAACAGAATATTCTGTTTATATATAAACCTGTCTATCGGCACAGTGTTTTATCCAGGATTTTACCTTTGAGGGATCAAAAACAATCCCGGGATTGTGGGAAGGGCAAACGCACAGATCTCAGATCGAAATGTCATCATTCGATTTTTTTTTATGTATAGCATGATATACACCAAAATTTTAGTAATATACCTATAACTTGGAACAGAAAGCTTAAAAATTTTTGGATTTTTCATATGTCACTAGAATCTATCTTATGAACAGAGTTTAAATCTAAAAGCGACTGAACAGTTGAAAATGTTATCTTATAAGTCAAAATTCTAATCTTTTGTTCCTTACTTTAACTAGAAATATATTTTTTTTTGTTAAATGACTAAATTAAATTACATATATATGAGTTATCTAAGTTTACTGGAATGATTATGCACGATCTGCAATAAATGAATCAAAAACTATTTTAATTAAAAATTTACTCTCGAAAAAAAAACATCAATCAAATAATATTTCTGTAACACCTTCTGTTCATCTTATAGATAACATCTTTTGTGATTGATATGCGACACTGTTAGTTTTTCTTCTTACTAGTTATACATCTAGCTATATCCTTAATTTATCATTACTCTTTTTCCCTTCCTCTTGCACACGATTATATCACTAACAAGTTTGCATGTATCACATATTCTCATATTTATATTTAGTCTATCATAAGTCATCTTGTTCTTCTCTCTCTAATTATTCTTCTCCTTTTTTCTCCATTGCTCTCTCTATTTGGTGACTTTCCGACGAAACGAGAAGCAACCTGATTGAATAAAGGAACAGCTGTACAAGTTTAGATTACAAAGTTGTTACAAATTCAGTATATTAAAACTTTGGATAACAACTAACACTTATATGACATACTTATTTTTGCATATTGATAAAATGTATACTTGACAGTGTAACTAAGAGCGTACAGCTATCAAGACATGTTTCATGCGAAAAGAATATTGTTAATAATAAAGAAACTGTCTAACAATCCTCATTATTCTAAATGATACTCTATATTTAAATAAAACTTAAGATAAACAAAGTAAATTGTATGTTTAATTGTTAACTATTAGTCTAATAATAATATTTTTTATTTGAGAAACTATGAAAAACAAATTTCAGTATCTGACATACTTTTCTTATTGCATTCTCTTGAAACATTTTTAGATCTACGTACTTTATAACATGCTTTTAGAGATCTTATTCAGTAATCTTAAAATTGCATAGAGAAAAGACTTGACAATAAAATTATTATTCATTAAAACACATAAGTATAATTTTAAATATGAATTCATTGATCGTTCTACATAAATTCAATATAATTATAATAAATCTTATAAAAGCTACCTATATGACATTTTTCTAATTGAAATAATAATTTCAAAGATTGAGTATTATTTTGACTTATAATGTTTGTACCCGTGATAAACTCAATGGCTCTAGACGTCTCTACTTTATACTACTTTTAACTTCGAAACTAATTATTTCCTTTTCCTGAAATAAAAAAAATCTAATTACACTTATTCCGTTATTTTCAAAAGAATAAATGTTGCTTCTGGCATAATTTTTTCTTATTTAAAACGATATATATATCATTTCGTTTTCTTCTAATTCACGAATAAAGGAAGAATAAGTAATACTAATCAAAATAGGGAATATGTCAATAAAATACCTATACGTAAATATTAAAAGAAAAAAAAAATACTTATTGTATAATTATTACTTTGAATAACTTGCCAATGGATTTTCTTCTCAATATAAATGTTTACTTTGAAATGTCGCTAAATTTGAAAGAAAAATATAATGAAATGTTTTACATAATGAGTTAGAGGCAAATTTTAGTTAATGCATCTTTTTTTACACCAGTCTACTTGTTTTTTTGGTTACAGTTATTTCTAGAGACGCAAATCAACAGTACTTGTATCAATTAGTTAATAGGCATTGCTTTTAGTTTATAATTATTTCTCATTGTAACAACTAATTTACTTTGCGCTTTACAGTCGAATAAACATTCATTTTGACGTGGAGACAAACAAGAATAGATTTTCTATATGACTGACGCATCTCAGTTCAAATGACAGCACATTTCTTAATATTCTAGTCATTATTTTTTCTATCAAAAACTATTTCATTTGTAGTTATACTGTTATTGTATATAGTTATAAAAAGATTTGTAATTTTCTTTTACTTTATCGTTAACAACTATCTTTGATCTTGAATAAATGTAGACATTTCTATAATAAAGAAATATCAAAAATATATATTAAATCCCCAAAGTACCACTGGTTCGCTGATTTTTGTAAACACTTTATAATTACATTTTGTATTTGTTTATCGTAATCTATATAATTAAATGTTTTCGAATTTTTTCTTGTGTTCATGAATTCATTACGCTTAGAAATAAAGATATCGAATTATCATTGTTGAACATGTTCAATAAACACATCAGTTTATGTTTGATAGACTTATTGATTTATGAGATGAATTTTTCTAATCTATTCGGATTTAGTAGCGAATTTTAATTGAAGTTTACTATCGTATAATATTTTAATATGTAATCAAAAGCTATGCTTACCTATTCAAAATTTGAATATCGAAATTATTTTAATTTATTAAATTATTTACCTTGATTTCAGTTTGATTATGAAATATTTATGCACCAAAATAAGTAAAGAATGTGAATCTATTTGTAAGGATGATTCACGTTTTGTATGATTTGCAGTCACGATTGAATTGAAATTTATAATAGTAATATTACGAGTATAAGAAAAAGCATAATATATATCAAATAATCATGTTGATAATGATTTTAACGAATATATGGATACTTCGAGAATAAATCGAGTTTTTCATAATTACTATGAGGTTTTTATTAGAATATTGCTCAGTATGTGATGTTTCGATTGAATACTGAAATACCTATATAATTTTTAAGAAAAAATTTATTTAATAAGTTTTTAAAATATATGATCCATCTCTATTCATTACTGATCAAGTAATATATTTGTAAATATAAAAAAGATATGTGATAGACATATTTAACATCGTTTTTGATAGTTCCATTATCATTGCAATAGAATCTTAAAAAAAGAAGAAAAAATCTATGAAATTCTGTACAGCGCACCCTTACTGTAATTAAAACCGATGAGATTTTTCGAAAAATACAAGTGATAAATTCAATGCATGTCAATATTACATTTGTACTTCAACAGTCTCATATACGAATATATTTTTCGACAAGTATTTTTCTTCTTTTTCTGTTCTTCAACACGACATAGGAGACTGAAATTATTCCGGTGATTGTATTTCACTTGTCTCTAGGCATAGATCAAGTTTTACTCAATTCAAACAAATTTTTGATAAAAAATTAGAAATGATCATAAAATGCATGTAACTTCAAAACAGTAAAATTAATGGTAAGAGTCCGTCATCTGTCGGATTTCAATCGTTGATGTTAATATAAGACCCAATAAAATAAAATCTTGTAAACTAAGTTTTCATTTCTTTCGTTTTGGGTTGGAAGACATAGCTTTGACTATAATGTAAGAATTATATAATTTTTAAACTCAATTCCGTGTTTCTTCATAAAATGCAGATACTATCCTCACCAGTCGTGATAAATGAATTAGATTATTACATAATAATGATGTTGATAAAGAAAAATATGTTTGATAAATATTAATTTTTTATAGATTTTAGATGGGTTCACAAATTGGAAGATTAATTAGCATTGATTTTGCTATTCAATTTATCGGATGGATTATTTCAGCTAAATTTCGAACGGAAAAATTTTTCGATTTAACTGGTAGAATAATTTCTATTTTAGTGATTTATATATTTTTAAATTATTTATTTAGGTTCGTTAACATTTATTTTATTAACTTATTTAAGTCGAAATAAAACTCAATCAACTCTTCGACAAAATATTCAATGTTCTTGTATATTTCTTTGGGCAATAAGGTATAGAACATTTAAAATGTTATTCTTCATACAACACTTTTTTCTTATATTCAGATTAGGTACATTTCTATTTCGTCGAATATTAAAAAGTGGTCAAGATTCACGTTTTGATCGTATACGTAATTCTCCATCAAAATTATTTATAACATGGTTTATGCAAGGTTAAATCAATCGAACAAATTATTTTATATAATTATTTCTTCTCTACAGGTATTTGGGTAATAATAACACTTTTACCATCACTTTATCTTAATCAAAAGCAAATTGACAAACCATTAACAAAAAATGATTATATCGGTTGGAGTATTTGGCTATTTGGTTTTGTTTTAGAAGCCGTAGCTGATAGACAAAAGTCAACATTTAGAAATAATCCTAATAATAAAGTATAATTATTTATATGTCTATTAATTTAATTATTTTTATATGATATTTAGGGGAAATTTACTAATATCGGTCTTTGGAAATATTCTAGACATCCAAATTATTTCGGTGAAATTTGTGCATGGTTCGGTCTTTATATTTCTTCATCACATATGCTTTCTAAATATGAAAAATTATTTGGTTTACTTTCACCAATATTTGTAACATTTATATTATCATTTGTAAGCGGAATTCCAATATTAGAAAAACAAGCAATGAGATTATATGGCAATGATCCTGCTTATCGTGCTTATCGAAATCGTACACCAGTTCTTATTCCATTTGTTAATTTTCCTCGTATTTAAAAGAAGAACATTTGATTTTTTTTATATATTCTATTCTTCGTTAGTTTTGGATAAGAAAGATTTTTTTTCGCATCATGATTAAAAATAAATTCATTTGACAGATTAATAATCTCTTCAACTGTTATTCTCATTTAATAAGAAAAAAAAACTTTCGATAGTTTCGTACTCAATAACTTAATAATCAGTTCTAAGAAAAGGATATATTGCAATATATGATTATCTAATGGCATATGTGAACTAACATTCATATCAATTTATTTTGAGAAGTTGTTAACATACCAATAGTTCTATGCAAATCTTTGTATGTCTAATTGGTAAATACTCGAGAGATAATAGGCGAGGAAAAAAGAGAGTATTGCATATTGTAGATGTGGAAATATTTCAACCAATATACAGTTATTACAGTTAAAGATGCGTCTTTTATCAGTTGTTTTTTCTTACTTTATTTGTGTGCAGATAGGAGTTTTTGCTGAACTAAGTTCTAGTTCATGTTCACTTCTTCGTACAGCTACTAGTATTACTACTATTGCACCTGAAATTGCTCAACTTCTTATGCGTTATTATAGTGTTTTATCATCATCATCATCATCATTACCAGTTCCAGATGAAGAACATCATCATCGCGAAAAACGTTTTCTTTTTGCTGATAAGATTAACAAAGATAGTAGCAGTAATACAAGAGGATCAATGTTAGAACAAATAGTTGCTAATGCATTTAAAGATGTTGATTATACTCGAGTAGTTTCATTAATTATTAATAATAATGAAAGTATGAATAAAATTCGACAAAATATTAATGGTGAAGCAATTATTCGTGTGGCTATGCGTAATATTGATTATGAAAAATTAGGTAGTAGTTTATGGTATGCTGCTGAAGCTGAATTTAAATTAAAAGATTTTACATCAAGTATTATTAATATAACTCGTATTGATACAATATATGAAGAACTTATTACGAATCGTACTTTACCAGAATGGCTTATTAAAAGTATTCATCCGAATATCAATGTTCAAATTGGTCATCAAATGTTTGAAACATTTCAAAATTTAACAAATAAATTTATTGAAATAATGAATAGTTCAGAAAATTTGGATAATTATTTATTTAATATAATACAACAACAAGTACTTATACCTTTAGGAACTATTATACAGAGAGTAAAAGATGACAAACCTACAACGCTTGATCATTTAGCTGAAATTATTTTAAATAATGTAAACAAAGTTGTTATGGTAAAATAAATTTGCTAATTGAAAGAATAATTTGTTTTATTTCTATTAGGAAAAATTTACGACAACAATAAAACCTATGACACCTGAGGAAACTGAAGAAAATGTATCAACAACAATGATAAATACAGAAGTTACAACTCATGATGATGATGTTAAAATATTACTTTATCAAAGTTCAATTGCAATCAATTCCATTGGACAGACAGCTCGAGTTCTGCTTAAAGCGCTTGAACAACTTTATTGTACATCTGTATGGGAATAATGAGAAATTTGTATTATCTTTTAAAGATAATCTTATACTACAATATATGCACAATAAGCGAGCATTTTCTTTTTTTTGTATTTCATATGTATTTGTATAATTAGAAAATCCTATTTAACATCCAAATAAACATATTCTTTTCTATATTATCACATATACTTTAATTCATTACTATATAAAATCAATAATTTAATTATATAAGGGTATAAAACTATTGTCTAACATTGCATTAACTGATAACAAAAATTCAGATACAACCCTATGAAATCATGTAGTGTTCGCGTCTTACTGAACTTTAATGAAGCCAGTAACATCAGGATTTGTAATACGTAGGTTTATATCCTTTATAAAGAATCACGATGCAATTAACTACTATGTATTAATACATATTTTTGTTTCCATATTTCTCGCTGTATTTTAACAATAAATATTCGATTCTTAACATGACTAAATCATAAAATTCATTTCTCACTCTTTTTATTTCACTCATATTTTTGCTAATTATTCAAATACTAACCATTCAATCTTTTTTTCTGATTTAAGATTTTGTATTGTAAACATCAAATATTGTACACTATGTTTTTTTTTCCGTTGGTCAATTTCATAACTGAAGCCAACATCCGCAATGGTTCGGTTTTATTCCGAAAATACACCCGTCACATACAGTTATATATAGCTAACTCTATATAGATAGTTGTTTTGTTTTTTTTCTTCAGGCTGGTTTAAACAGATAGAGAAAGAGTTATACATATAGATAAAGTTTGCACAAGAGGAAGAAAAGACCAGCAAAATCTTTTGAGAAATATAGAGCAAGAGCTAGAGAATAGAACAGTTTGTGATCGTGTGAGAAAGAGCCAAACAAGCAAAGATGAATATACGCACACACACAAAAAGAAAAAAAAAATAGACAAAGTGAAAGAGATAGACTTATATGAATGCGAAGAAACGAAGAGAAGAAATAGATATATATACATAAAAAAAAAGTAGAGGAAGAGGAACAAGCCTAGAATCAATACATATATATGTATCTATATATATATCTATATATATATATATTGCACACAGCGTCGAGTAGAATATGTCAATGAATAGAAATAAGGCTCTGAATAGCTAATAAAGTTCAAATACAGGGATTATGGAATAGGATATCCTCTCATCTTTGTAGGTTCACTGAAAAAGCACTAAAATAAAGATGAAGAGAAGGCGCGCGCAAGAAAGGAATTACTGGTATTTTTATACGTGTTTACAGAAAAAATGTTTACTTTTTTTATCATTTTTTTTTTGTTTTCATTTTTTTATAGATTTTTTTTCAGATGTTTATATTATAGGGAGAGATCAACAAAAAAAGAAAGAAAGAAAAGGATGAACAAAAAAAAAGAAAGACATGAATGATAACGTTGCTGAGCCGATAAAGAAAAGATGAGAAAAAAAAATAAATAGAAAGAAACAAATGAAGATATTTGACTGGATTTCATCATCATCACCATTTATCTATATCATTACCGTTTTATTCTTGAGCATTTCGATGATCATTATCATTAACAGTTCTTATAATATAAAAGAGAAGAAAAGATTTAAGTACAAAACTAAAGTAAGAATTTTACCTCTGATGATTCGTTCGTTGGGGTTGTGGTCGATGAAATATATTATGTGATGATAAAAATTGTTGTTGATAAGGAATATGATATGGATATTTCAGAGAATTTCCATTCGTATACTGAATTAATGGTTTATCCATTGGAGTATAACTAAAAACAATACTTTAAATAAATCAAAAAAAAATAGATCGTTTTTTCTATATACTTTAATCGACCATATTGAATATGTTTTACTGTTCGTTGTTCATTTTGATAATCACGATAGATAGTACGCAATCTCCTTCGATATTTCAACGTACTTTCACTAACAGTAATTATTTTTGAAAGAATACTAAATAGAAATTCTTTTATAGACAATAAAATTTTTTATTCGATTTTTACTTACGAAGGTGCATTTTTTAATGTTGTATTTTGATCAGAAACACTTTGTAATAATTTATCATAAGCTTCACGAAAAGCTGAATTGATTTTTGGTGTTAACCATGAAGCTTTACTTATATCGTTTTCTATAAAAATAAATTATTTAGAAAATAAAAAGTTTTTTCGATTTTATCTACATACTATCATTAAATGGATCAACAATACATAAATTATTTATCGTACGATGTCCACAACAGAAATTTTTAAATAATTCTTCTTTATCAATAAAACCAGCTGGACGATCTGGTTGATTAGGTGTTTGAACACGAATACCCAATTTAGCATAATTAAAATAAACACCATATAATTCAAGAAAACTTATCAGCATATGTCCTAGATTTACATGTTCAACTGTATTATTTGTTGGATTATTATTATTAATATTATTAGTAAAATGATCATCATCAATATCACTATTATTATTACTACAACTATTATTATCATCTGATGATATACATGAAGCTGCAGATGATGATAGATAAGATGTTGATGATGAAAAATCATCTGTTGTACCAGTTGTACTATTCGTTTTTATAGATGATGTGGATGTAGTTTTCATTGTTGCAGCTGAAGGTGTAGATAGTCCAGATGAAAGTGATGATGATAAGAATGGCGAGACCACAGAATATTGATCTTTATTATAATAGGACTATATAAAAGTAATAAATGAGAAAATATATATTAAAAACAAAAATTAATTTACCTGAAAGAAACACACTAACATAAGAATAAGTGAATAACTACTAATGCCACCAGTCCATACTTCATTGAGATTAAGTTGGAGTAAATACTGTTTTAATACATAGACAAGATATTTTAAATATGGATATTCGTCCATATAACGCTAGAATAAAAAACAAAACAAAGCTTATTGTATGTGTGTGTGTATAATTAATCAAGGTTCTATATGACCTTCACGCTCTTTTCTCAGACACTGCTTCCGGTCTTTATTTTATAAAAAAGATATATGCGTCAATAAACAATCTTTTCCTCTTACAAAAATAATCATTCTTTATACAACACGAAGCCAAACAATACATTTTCTTTTTTTTGCTTTCTGTCATTGATATATTTTTTTGCTGTAATATTATTCTCTACATAGGGAAACCTCTCATATTCTCTCAATGATCACTTCAAAAAACAATTTTCTAACTTAGAATATTATCTTAAAAGAAGAATATTTGTTTTTTTATTTAAAATTGTTATGAAAGGTAACAATTCTTATCTTAGGTCATTTGAGAAGTGTGGTGACATATACTCGAATTATTATAAGAAAAAATGATAAAATCTTAGTTTAATACGTACAACAATAAGTTGAGCACTTCGAAGACCATTATTCATATTAAAACTCATATCAACTCTCACATCAGTTTTTTGATCAGTTAATTTAATAATTGGTACTGTTGCTCCATTTAATAATTGAATACCTTCTTGTGTACAAATACGATGACGACAAAACGCTTCACGTAAAACTAACATTAATGCTTCTAATTCTTCTGGTTTCCATGGACGACCATCTTTTGAATGGACAATCAAATCAATATCACTTTGATGTAGAAAAAACAAAGAGCAATGCTAAAGTTATTATTTTTAATTTTCAACAAACCTCATTGGTAAATACAATCTGGTTTTATAACTTCCATAAACATCCACCTTAGAAAAAAAAATAAAAGTTAATAAACAAAAAAAAACCATCTGCTTTATCTTACGGAAGCTGTGGGTAGATATTGATTGATTACGTTAGTTATACGATCAATAACTTGTTTTCGTACAGCATGTTCTTCTTCAGTTGGAATCATAAATTGATAAAATTGTAAAATTTCATAATGAAGACGATAAAGACGAACAGACATAAATGGTGGTGCACTAAACGAAAAAAGAAAAAACATATGATTAATATTTTTTTCTTCCCAAACTATGATTAATTAGAAAAATTACGTCATAAGGTCGAAAAGTTCAACAGGAATTTGTGTGTGTCTCCATGGTGGACATATAAATCGATGATCTATTTGTGTTGGTGCACGTCGTAATAGAAAACGATCATGTAGATAAACACCACTTCGATCATGCATTGTTTTCTTTATTTTGAATCAATTATTTTACAAAAGAAAAAAAAACAAGTTATTTGTTTGATGATAAATAACTTCTTTTCAGTTGTCTTGAATAGATAATGATTAATTTTAAAATGTTAATGCTAGAAATGAAAAAAAAAGAAGTAAATCTAGGGGTTTAAATAGATATTTTCGAAAGTGACATATGAAAAAGAGAATGATATAATGTATAAAAGAATTCTTTGTATACGTAATAACAACTATGATTGTTTATAAGCAACCGCAAATTTATAGAAAGAAAAAAAAAGATTTTTCTAAGGAAACACGTGTGTTTGGATGAATCTGGATTATCTGGATGGATGAATAGTTATTTACTACTATTGGTTGAAAATCAACCAATCGAAAGTAAAGCGTTACTAACAATGACAAATATAAAAATATTTAAATAAAATAAATATTTTTTAAGTGAAATGTTTTTTTTTGTATATCAAATTCAAATCAAATGAATAAATTTGAATTTTTAAAATGAAGGTTTATATGACATAAAATTTTTCTGGCAAAACATATCTAGAAACTTCTAGATTTTTATGACAGAGAACAGTAAAAGGAATAACTAGTAGTAGAAGAACAAGAGACAAAACTCGTTGCGTTGGAAACATACATTTTCATTTAAAATTTCTATTTGCTCTTTGAAATGAAGAAATCTAATGTATTTTCATTTTGAAAAATGTCAAAATCAACAAAAGATTGTTTTTTGTTTTTATAAGAAATAAATTTAGGTGATACATTTTTTCATCATGGGAAAAATGATTGTTTCGAAAAGAAATTGATATAATTCAATAATATATTGCTTAGATCCATTCTAGAAAGAAGAAAGTTTATATTCAAATTCTAATACGAAAATAATGAATTACAATGTGATTTTATCTACAGATGGAAAAAAAGATGTACTTTTAAATAAATATTATTTTAGCGGAATCAAAAACAGATAATAAATCATAATTATTTAATATTTACATAATAAATAGAACTCGTACAAGTCTTATTCCGTTAAATGCAATCAATATGAATTAGATGTTTGTCTATCCTTATATTTACTTGTCTTTGATTTGAACCGAAACCACTTATACTCACAAACATTACCTTCATTATTTGCTAGCCAACGTGTTTCAATAGTTTAAGAGAGACACAGAGAGAGAGAGGGAGGAAAAAAACTATGTAAATTATGTCCGTTAAAAAAAAGAAAGAAAAGGACGAAGAATAAAGAAATACAAGTGACATGGAAACTGTTTGATGTTACTCTTGAAGATCATCTCGTTTTGCTACCATACACACAATAATAATAACAACAAATATGTCTCATGTTGCACATGATGCATGTGGTGTAGATGTTTTCCTTTGTTTTAATCCTCAATCTCATCCATGTTCAGCCGTAGCAACCATAATTAAACATCGATGTTCAAAGTATTAAATATAATTTTGACTTTTTCTTTTTTTTTCTTAAAAATTTAATTTTTAGACGAGAAATTATTTATCAAACATCGGAGAATATTGATTTTACAAAAAATTGGTATGAATTCATACCAGTTCAAATTCTTCGTTCAAAGATATTTGTTCCAATCATTGATGATCAATGGTATTCATCATTTTGGTGTTCATGGATGCTTTTATTTGCTAGTGTATGTAAGAAAAAGAAAGAATTATATTTCCTATCAAGTCTTTTATTTTAGGAACATGAAGATCGTTCTCGTCTTCCATTAATTATGCCTGTTATTTTACCATCACATAATGAGCAATTATCGAAAAGACTTATTGAAAAATTAACAAAAAACTACAAAGGAACTGTCTTGCTTAGTGACGTAAGAAAGTTTAATCATTTTCATACAGAAAGATTTATTCTTGTAAAATTCACAGTCGTTAAACATTGATTTTACAGCCGATATAAAAATCATTAATTTTTCTGGCATCGAGAATCGATCCGATGAAAGAAATATTGATTTTTTTAGTATCTTAATCGGATAGATATTTCATTTTATACGAGAAAAGTTTTAGTCATGATTTGAAAAAAAAAGCTTATAGAGATTATATTTCTTTATATATTTTAGCATGAACCAATTAAACAATCACTTGAATTATTTTTTAAATCAATAGAATTAACAATTCATACACCAGAATGGTTATTACAAGGACAAAAATCTAAACGATATGTTGATAGTGAACGACCATTAACTTCTAATGAATTTAATTTTTTAAATGAAATGAGACATAAAGAAATATTACTTATGAAAGGTATTATTATTATATACATCTAGATTTAATTCATTTTATCTATTTTTAAAGATTTATCAACACAACAAGAACAAAAATTATTAATTAGTAAAAAAACTCGTCAACATAATCAACATGTTGCATTATCAATATTATACGATCAATTACCAATATTTTTACTTTCAGCAATGTATGAAAATTATCATATAACATGGTTTGATGTTGTTACAATTGATCGACGACATTATTTTACATTTATATGGGAAGATAATTCACAATTTCAAAATCGTACATCAATTATATTTTATAATTTAAATCCATCACAATTTCATGAATTAACATTAAAAATGAATCGTTATCAATTTGATTTAATACATTTTGATGTCTATTGTCATAGTCATGAAAATATGTTTCGATATATATGTTTATTTTTACGTGATAATACAAATCGATCATATAATAAATTATGTGCACCTGTTATATCAGATCGATGGTTAAAAGAATTAAAACCAAATGCTATTAATATACGTCCATTAGTATTATGTGGAAATTTATATTATTCAAATTTATTTACATTTAAAGGATATGATCATAATAGACATTATCGTATAGATTTAACTGATCATGAATTACTTGAAGAACATACAAAATTATTAATAGATAATTTTAAATTAGTTGATTTAAAAGTTTATCATTTAAATAATGGTGATTATCGTTTTGTTGCATTATGGACAAAGGAACAAGAAGGTTCATCAATGTTATTACTTGGTTTAACATATGATGAATTAATTACACGTTTAAATGAAAAACAATTACGTTCAAGTATTATTGCTAATTATGGTTTATTAGCTGATGGACAACAATGTTTTGCACTTGTTTGTAATCAGTACGATACGAGTTGGTAAAAAATATATTTTTTTTGCTATCTTGATAAACATTTTATACAAAAATAATAAATAAAAAGAAATAAATTATTCTTTATGATAATTTTGTACGAATTTTTCTGCTTTTTGTAGTACATTTTGCATTTCATTGTATTTAACTAAATTACATGCATCTTGTAAATTCGACCAAATTAAATTTTGATGTTCATTTGATAGTTTAACATTTTGTTGAGCATTTCGTATACGAGCTAAATAATAAAATACATCTTTTGGTCGTCCATTGATATTATAAGTAATTTTTTCTTCAAATTTATTATAATATTCTAAATCATTTTTATCAAGACCAGCTTCTTCTTTTGTTTCACGTTCAGCTGCTTGTAATGGAGATTCACCTTTGTCTAAATGACCTGAAAATAAAATTTCGATATAAAACCTGTATTTCTTGTCTCTCACCTTTCGGTGGTGTCCAATGATGTTCACCATAAGATGTTTGTAATAGTAAATATTCAATAGGATTTCGTTCTAATCGACGAAATATAATAAAACCTGCTGCTATACGTCTACTCATATTAAATCAATTAATCTAAATATTTTAACTTATTCAAAACTGAGAACAATAAAGAAACAAAAAATTTTATTGTAAGAAAAAAATGGGTTAAATAAAAATTCAATTAAAATCACATACACACTTGTATAAATTAATGCAAATATCAAAAAAAAGAAAAATTTGTGTCTATTTTGTATTTTAAAAAATAAATGAGATCATAAAATGTCCGTATATCTTAATTATTTATTCAATTTTAACTTCAGAATAAATTTTTCTAACAAAAATGTATGAAGCATAAAAGCCAATTGTACCAGTAAGAACCCAAAATGAAAAACAGATCAAAAGTGTATAACCAAAATAAAGTAGTGACGGAACAAATCCAGTAATATCAAGCTACGAGAGAGAAAAAATTTGATTTAATAAAATTTCATAGTTATTGTTACTTTAGTAAAAAAGTAAAAAACTGCATAACCAAATACATAAAATGCTGAACCACCTGACGAAATAAATGATCTCCACCACCAATGATAATCTTCTCCACATAATTGAAAATACGTTATAACAATTGAGATTTGTGAGCAACAGACTAAATCATGACAAATAAGAAATATTGAATTCATATTTCTATTACTTACTAATTATTATAATAAATACAAGAAAGAGAAAACCAAATAAATAATAATATTGATTTTCCCAAATAGCCTTAAAAAAATGGTTGATGAATAGTTTTGAACTAAAGACATTTGTTTTACTTACAGAGAAAATAAAGAATAATTCAATAAACATTGCCCCAAATGGTAGTATACCTAATATATAATTTTCTTTTTTTTTCTTTTCTCATTCATCAATTACTTACCAGCAATTGCAATGCTAATCAAAAAATAAACAAATAATTAATTTTGATATTAAATAAAATTTTTCATTTACTTTATAACAGGATGCATAAACCATTGTTGTTCGGGTACTTGTTTTGGAATTTGATTTGTTCGAACGGGTTGTTCATATGGCTAAAAAATACGATGAATTTTATTGTTTCTACGATTGTGTACATACTTGTTTACGATAACCAAAAAAGAAACCAATACAAACAAGAGGAAATGATATTCCTAACCACATAGCTAATATAGAAATCATTGTTGAAAATGGAACAGCACCTGATGAACGTTTTCCCCAAATAAAAAAATTTAGAAAAAGAGAAACACCACAAACAATTGATGGATAAAGTGTAGCAGTCTATAATAAAAAAAGACGAATCATATCGAATTGTTTTGAGAAAAATATTTGACATACTAATGCTGCTGTTCGTTTCCAATTTGTACCTTTGATTGTTTTATATAATCGACCAGAAAAGTAGCCAGCTATTAAACTAATCGGAAAAATAAATAAAATCTATTCAATTGATATTTTTTGTGTTTCCTTACCCCATGAAAACATAAAGAAAACAAGCAGCAGTAACTAAAGCACCACGTGATGCTGGTGAAAGCATTCCAAGTGCCGCAAAGACTAGAATATAATTTTAATTGATTGTTCTTAAAAATAATTTGTTCGGTCATTAAAAATACAAACCAATAACAATGAATGACATCATTAGAATCTGAATACCAGAACCAACAAGAGCGGCAAGATAATTTTTACCACGTGGTGGTCGAAAAACATCACCATGTACTCTATAAATAATAATAAATATTTGATCAACATTTTAAAATTTATATTAAACTAACAATTTCCATCCAGTTTCTTCAATTGAATCATCCTAAACATTAAGAAAATATTTTTTTTATTTCAATTTAATTTATAAAGGGAAACTAACTGCATCTTCTTTATTATATCGTGCAATATCTCGACGAAGAGTTTTAATAATAATCATTGAAAGTATACCAGCAAGAAAGAAGACAACAATAACAGAATTAATTAATGAAAACCAATGAATTTGAACATCTGTCATTGCCAAATAGGTATCCCAACTAAAACAAAATAATTCATATTCATTCTTCTATAAAATAAAGTATAACGACGAAGTTATATTAAATTTATCAATCTTAGACATCAAAAATGATCTTAACAAACAACTCATATTTTATTCTATTTATGTTTCTGAAGTCATACCGACTAGCCCAACGTGTATCACTTGGTGCCCATTCTACTTCATAAGTCATTGTTACTGTATTTTCTCCTGAAAAAAAACAAAATTAAACTTTCATTTTTTTTCAATCATTGATAATCGAACCTGCCGGATTGATTGCCTGCATTCCTTCACCACTTTGTATCGAACATTTTCCACCTTCTTCAGCTGTAATACGTTTTGAATCAATACTTTTTGGTTCAACTTCAAAACCAACAACTCGATATCCATTTCTTCAAAAAAGAAAAGATACATATTTACTTACATATATATATATTATAAAATGAATTTTTATACTCAGATTCTTTATGATAAAATAATCTTATAATTAAATGATTATTTAAGTATGTTTCTTTCGATTGTTTTATATGATTTCCTAAACGATAACCATGTTCATAAAATGTAGCTTGAGTATTAGGATTTTGAAATTTAGTTGCACATGGTAGATTATCAACAAGACTTAAAATTAAATAAAGGAAATATGATAAATGAAATATAAATAAATTCGTACAGATGAACATAATAGTTTTGTTCAATACGTTTTGCTAATTTTGTACTTTGTTCGGATGTTAATTTAATATCTTTACAAAGTGTTAAACAACGAGCATTTGTATCCATTTCAACCTAACTTATATAGATAAGAATGTTTTATTTCTTATATTATCTCTTTTAATTTACTTTGAAATTTGTAGTAACAATACGATCACCACGAAGAATTTCACCTAAAAAAAATCTAATATTGTTTTTTTTAATCTAATATTTCTTAATCTATTTGTTTACCAAGGTTTTCAGATTTATATTTAATACCATCAGAAGGTTTACAATGTATATCAAGTTCATAATAATCATATGGCAATTGAGTTTTTGTACTAGTCATTTTAACAGCCTAAAAAATTTAATTAAATTTATGAATTTTTTGTTTTTCATTTCAAAAAATAATTACTTTAACTTCAACATTTTCGCCTCTATTAAAATCAAGTGGTGCAACACCGGGAATGTAAAATGGAAGAATTGGTTGAATTAAACAAGTTATACATAAAAAAGTGATGACGACTGTGGTGAACATCTAGGAGAAAAAGAATATTGTGAGTTATTCATGCTTGAATGAATGAAATATTGAGTAAAATACAAGGCTAGTATGAAAAAAAAATCGAAGGTAAAAAATGTACGAAAGGAAAAGAAACGAGCGTTTTTTTACACCACATAACTTTATGAAAAAATGTATCGTGCGCATGAGACATTGAGCCATAGAAAAAGAGCGAAACAAGAAACGCCAAACATGAATAACAAAATATATAGTGTAAGCAATACGCGGTTTCAATATAAAATTATCAGTTTTTATGATTTATTAACCGACATACATGTATGATTGAAGAAAAATGAAATATCAGTTGTTTTTATTTTGTCATTGATTGATTAATAATCAATGTAGAGGTCGTTGTCAAGTAATGATTCCTTTGATGACAATATGTATATATGTAAACTGTATTGATTGAAAATCTGTTTTATTGAAAATATGGCTGCGAAAGCCAAGATACTACCAAAATTAAAACCAATAATCGGTCGAAAAGATGAAAATAGACCAGATATAGCAGCAGGATTAAAGAAAAATGTTTTACCTAAGAAACTCGAACTACAACCATTGAAAACATTTCCAACAAATAAATTGGAATTTAATAGATTAATTACTGGAGATTTTACACAAGATTTTTCCAAACAAACATCACGTCTTTTTCGAATATTTCTTAGTTCAACATTTTCGGATTTTAAAGTTGAAAGAAATGAAATTTATCGACGAGTGTTTCCATCAATTAGACAAAGATGTGCACAACTTGGTTATGAATTTCAAGTTGTTGATATGAGGTATAATAAAATCATAATTTTCTTTTTTGATGTTCAACTATTTCATATATATATAGATGGGGTGTATCGGATACAGCTGATACGGATCATACAGCAGATATTATGTGTATGGATGAAATTGAACGATGTATCGAATTATCTGCTGGTTTAAATTTTATTTATTTAATTGGTAATCGTTATGGATATATGTATGTTCCACTTGGAATCGATCAAGAAGAATTTGAACAAATCATTGCAGTTGCTCGTGAAGAAAAGATTGCTAATGTTGATCTCATAGAAAAATGGTTTCAACTTGATAAAAATTCAGTTCCATCGAAATATGTTTATGTTGTAAGTTTTGTAATTAATTATGAGAGGAAATAAAATCTATCACACTATTTTTCGATAGCCAATTACAACTTATTTCAAACATTTCGAAGAACAATCAAATGAACAACAACAAGAAGAAAAAAAACAATGGCAAATAGAAGAAAAATCTCTTTTGAAAGCATTACGAGAATCTGTTGATAAAGCATATGAAAGAAAAAAAATAACATATGAACAAATGATTAAATATTTTGAATCAAGTTAGATTTCTAATTAATAGTAAACATAAGAAAAATTATTCCGTTTTAGTTACTGGACGAGAAATTCGTCGAGCAACAACGGAAAGTAATTGTTCAAATGTCATTGGTATTATTCGTGATTTTTCAAATCCCTTTGTTGAAACAGCTATAGACGCGAAATTCTTTGGTAATAGATCTACGTCTTTTTCTGTTTACAACAAATAAATTTATTCCTATAGATTCATCAAAAAATGAACGAATAACGAATTCAATTAATCAATTAAAAGCACATTGTGAAAAAGTAACACCCTCAACACAATTCAAAAAATTTCTTGTTCCATGGGTAAGATAGAAATCCCATATATACTCAAATTTCCATCTACAATCTTTCAGAAATCTGGTGGTTTAAATATAACAAATGATCAATCTCATCAAGAGTATATGGATGAGTTTTGTAAATTTTTATCAATGACTATTATGGAAATGATTGAAAAAACTTGTCGAAAAATGTTAAATACAACTTTATCATCATTTCATGAAGATCTTCTTCATCATGGTTTATTTTGTCAAGAGAAAAATAATTTTTTTTTTGGTCGAGAAGAACTTTTAGCAAATGTTTATTCACGTATTGAATTAAATCGTCGAAATGTTTCATCACCAATTGCATTTATTGCTGAATCAGGCTCAGGTAAAACATCATTTATGGCACGTTTAGCTAAAGAATTACGTGTATGGTATCCAACAAGTGCTGTATTTATACGTTTTCTTGGTACATCAGCAAAATCAACTGATATTGAATTAGTTATACGTTCATTATGTCGACAATTAAAACTTATATATGGTGTTGATGATGAAGATGAAAGTGATACATCATTAACATTTTCATCACTTGTTCGAATATTTCACGAAAGATTAAAATCTGTATCAAAAAAGTCATTAAATATTGTGAGGAAAAAAACTCATCCAAAACCATTATTTATATTATTAGATGCTATTGATCAACTTGATAATACAACAAAATATTCATTTCAATTTGATTCATGGTTATTACGTTATTTACCACGTGATGTTCATATATTTATATCATTTATGCCAACAGTTGATCGTTCAAATTTAAAAGATTTATTTATGCAATTTATGAGAAATGATGATTCAACAATATTTACTGTACCACGTCTTCTTTCAATTGATTGTGAAAATATTATTCGAAATTCATTACAAACATGTCATCGACAATTAACATCAGAACAATATAAATATTTATTAACAACTGTTGAACATAATCCTAAGCCGTTGTATTTAAAATTATTAATTGATATTGCTCGAACATGGACATGTTTTAAAAATGAATCATTACAAATAAATTTACCATTACCTGAAACAATTGAAAATGCTGTTGAACAATTATTTATCCGTTTAGAAAATCGTCATGGTAAAGAATTTGTTCAACATTCACTTGCTTATCTTGTTTATGGTTTAAATGGTATATCAGAAAATGAATTAGAAGATTGTTTATCAATAAATGATATTGTTCTAAATGAAATTTATTCTCATCATGATCCACCAATACCAAATGCAATTCATGTTCCATCACTTCTTTGTCAATCATTTCTTTATTCAATAAAACAATATTTATCTCGTAAACGTATTCATGATAAACATATTTTATCATTTTATCATCGAAAATTTTCTGAATTAACAAGACAACGTTATGAACATTTATGTAAACAATGTCACGAACATCTTATTGAAATTTATACTAATGATCAAACAGCATATAAACGTACAATAACATTAAAAAAACGAAGTAATAAAACAATAAATGATGCTGATCGTTTGATAAGTTCACAAATGACAAATTTACTTAATAAAAGAAAATTAATTGCATTACCTCATCATTGTTTAGAATATGGTACAGAAAAAGATCATATATTACGAACAATGTGTTTATTTAATTTAAAATTTCTTTCATGTCAATTGAAAAGTCTTGGTCATTCGGTATTTCTTGATTCATTGCGACATTGTTTACGTTTAAGACCAATGTGGTCTGATTTAAAACGTCTTTATCGTGCTGTATGGGCAATTGATGATGATACAATCGAAGATGTAGATGCTTCTTTGATTATATCTGAACAAATACTTGGTTTTATTGATAATCAACAAACAAATCAATTATATAATCAAATAAATCATTCAAATATGAATAGTGATCTTGAAAAACTTTTTCTTGATTGTCAACAATATTGTATTGAACAAAAAAATTCATTTCGTTCATTATATGCAGGTTTTCCACAAGAAACAGATGCATTAGCATGGAGTTTTTCTCCTGTTACACATATTTTATATCTTACGGAATTTTATTGTCTTGCTATTCTTGATGGAACCGAAGATGAAGAATCCAGTCGTCTTATTCAAACATATACAGTTGCTACAATTAATTTACAAACTGGAAAAGTAGAAGAAAAATCAAATTTTGAAAAAAAAACGAAAAACTTGCTTTGTTATTTTTTTATAGGTAGATAAAATATATTTAGATGAAACATTTGATAAAATTTGGGATGGCTATATAACAAAAAATGGAGCTAAAGTTTATTTATTTGGAGTTAATAAAGTACAAACATTTAATAGTCGAACAGGTGATATGTTGACTGAACGAACATTATCATTTGATAATAAAACATTTTGTAATAGAGCTTACTGTATGACAAGCAACGAAGAGTAAGTTGATTTCTAAAAATAAATACGTATATATGTATATCAGACATTTTCTATTCAAACATAAAATATCAGATAGGAAGATTTGACATTAAACCTCGTAAGATCAGAGTAACAAGTAGAATCTGAATGTTAGAATTCGTCATAAATATACTTATGTCAGTGACTTATCAAGCTCCTTATGATTTTCTGTCAAATTCAATGTAGTTTTCATTATCTGAATTCATCAACTAAACAATAAATAGTCTCATCTGAGAACAATAAAAATATGATATAAGCAGTATTATCTAAGAAAAAACATTTATTTTACAGGCAATTAGTATTGGCTAATGAATGGCGTATTGGAGCACTGGACGAACTTGATGAGGAAGCAATTTATCGAGTATGTATTCAATAGATTGACTTATTCCCATATTTATTAATTATAACCAAATAGAAATAAGTGATGCGTAATAAGATTTATTTCAAAATTAACAATTATATTAAAATGACATTTTTAACAAAATCTAGACGAGAATATATTTTTCAATTTTAGGGTGCACGTATACCGATTAAAAATGCATCACTTCAATTAGAAAATAAAGAAGATGTTACAGTTTGCATTCGATGTATTGGTGCTAATGATGATTTCGTACTTTGCTTAATATTTGATGAATGTAATCATGTTCTAATTACACTTTGGTCATTGAATGAACATGATGAAATTTTACCAATGCGTTTTGCGTACATATATCATAATGTATCATCACCGGATCTATTCGATTTACCATTAAGTAATAATGAAATTTTGTATCTTGCAACTATTGAAGGAAATATTCGAATATTTGATCTTCTTAAAATAAAACCAAATACAAAATTACAAAATTTATTTACTGATGATAGTATTCAACAAGTAAATATATTACCAAATGAAGAATTAGATCATTTAGTTTGTTTATCTGATGATATCATAGCTATTTCAACAACTGAATATATAACATTATTTGATCGAAAAGATTTAACAAAAATTATACAAAAAATTCGAGTTGATGAATCACTTTTTAGTTGGAAAATGATTATTCAAGAAGATCATAATCGAATATTAATAACAGTTGATTCAAAGCAACAATTTATAACATTATATCGTCAAGAAAATAATTCTTCATCTTCATTAAATCAAATGAAAATTAACTTTCGTTCAAGTGTTGAATCTATTAAATTAATACAAACAACAACCATTATAGACAATGATGACAAGAAAAAAACTTATGTTTTAATTTTACTTGATGATAACACAGTACAATTACTTGATACAAATCAATTATCTCAAGCTAGCTTAAAACCAAATGGATTATTTACGAGAATTAAAGATTATAACGTACTATTCTTTTATTCAATTTTTTTTTAACTTTTTGCTTTTGTTTAGATTGGTGATAAAGCTGTTGCTGCATGTGAATATGATGTAAATTGTCCATTAGTTATGTGTCCTTCAAATAAATCATTTCAAACTATTCAATTACTTCATTCATTAAGTAATATGAATATTGAATTTATTGCTATGTTAGATAATGATCAATATTATGTTATTATTACAAATGATCGAACAGTATTTATTTATTCAATACATAATCTCAAAGAAATACTTTTTCAATATAATCTCAAAATACAATGTGACTCAGAATTATTCTCATTACAAACATATAATTCAAATATAATTATATTTATGTTTAAAGGTCAATTTCTTTTTTTACAAATTAAATTTGATAATATACAAACAAAATTTCATATTTTATCTAAACAACTTCTTTCGATTCCAAATCGTCAACTCGAATATTCGCTAGAATTTACACCCAATAAACGTTTTCTTATTTTTAAACAAATATTAAATTCTGATGATAATCCTTATCTTTATAGTATTCGTATATTTAATTGTAATGATCAATTTCAACTTTCACCAATCAGTGAACCTATTACTTATATTAAATCAAAACTATCTCATAGCGGAAAAGTAAACAGTTTTATGACATATATATCATTATATACTCGATCAGAACTTTGGATAGCTTATCAAGGGTCAATATTACGTGTTTGTCTTCCATCAACTATAGCTGAACTCGAAGTACGTTCCAATTATCATTCTTGGATGCGTCATTCACTTGCATTATATGGTAAAACAGCCGAAAAAGCAAGTTTATCAATTACAATAACAAGTTTAGCTATAAAATCACCGGATGATTCATGTTTAGCATCGGGTGCTGATGATGGATCGATTATTATTTGGTATTTAACAGATAAATGTTATCGTTATGTCTTAGAATCAATCCATGTGGACGAGGTAAAAAGAAAGATATAGGTTTATCAGCAGAATTCCCAAGAGAAACTAAGTTTAGAATTAATTTGAAAATACTTTCTTGTTTCTTATCTTTAGATAACTGGTCTTCAATTTGATACAAATACAAATCGTTTATTTTCAGCATCACTTGATCGTAGTCTTGCTATATGGTCTGGTGAAGAGTTACTTCGTGTTCTTCAAGTACATATACCCATCGACAGAATAGATCTATTTGCGTCATCCAATATTCTTCTTGCTCAAGGAAAATTCTGGGGATTTGATCGTCTTATGATGTTTTATATTGGAAATGATTTACAACAATTAACAGCGATACAAAACAATAATATTGATACAGAACTTAAGAATACAACGAACGTTGATGCGTCTGAGATTGCTAGTTGGGGTTTATAGTAAAAACAAATAAAGTAATTCCATATATATGATGATATCTTACTTATTTTTTTGTTTTGTTCTTTTGTCTTATAATAATTAGTTGTACGGGTGTGTGGGCTTGAAAGAGAACGAAGAGAGTCCACAATTAATATTTTTCTTTTTTTGTCTACTATTTCCAATGACGTCAAAACTAAGGAGAAAAACAATATGGAGATAATCAGTATCATTAACTTAGCCTACGTATGATGTGTAGAGAAAAACGCAGATATCTTTCAATGACGTATGATTTGTTTTTATCAAATACAGATGAAAGATAATCATATTTAAGTAGAAGAATCTTTTTTTTAAAGCAAAACAAAAAACAAAACGAGAAGAATAATTGTTGATCTGTTTTTCTTTACACGAACAAAACAACAGAAGAAACAAAATAGAAAATATAAATATATATTTATCCGACAAATAAAGCCCATGAAAAACAAAAACAAGAAAACAACTATATTTTATTAAGCTAATAAAGATGAATATGAACAATTAATTTAGTTTGAATGTGATAGACGTGTTGATGAATTTGGTAATAAACGATGACTTAAATACATGCTATTTTGACGATCTTGTAATGGTTTTTGATCACGTAATGAAAAATATCGTCGAAGAAATGTACAACTAAATAAACGAACAACTTCACTACGAAATCGTTGACCACATATAGCATAAACAAAAAAATTAACACAAAACGATGCAAAAAACCAAAGACGAGCAATATTAACAGCACGAAGCATCCATGCCGGCTGTTTTTGTGTACATAAAAACCAGAATAATAATAAATGATACGGTAAATTAAAAACAAGAAATACAGTCGATGCTGCTAAAAGCATTTTAGTTGTTTTAGCTGATGCTGTTGTTCGACATTGATTCGAACGAATACGAATCGATGTATTTATATCATGCATTGGAATATGTCGTAATGATGGTGTACATGGTAAAGAATGATTACGTCTTGGTACTTTATGTCGTTGTATTGGTTGAACACATAAATGTGAATGATCTTGTTGTGTTGGTAGTTGTTGTTGTTGTTGTTGTAAAAGATGATTGTTCACTTCGTTATGATTATTTGATATATTATTAGTGCTTATATTAATACCAAGATTACTTAAATTTAATTGAGGTAATGGAATACCTTCAGTAACTGATTGTCTTGATGAATGAATAGATGATTTTGCTGATGGTGTAATACATGGAGTTGATACAGTTGAGCCAGGTAATCTTTGTGCAATAGTAAATTTTGTATGAAGTTTATAAACAATAGCTAAATTCATACATGTTATACATGAAAATGGTATAATAAATGTAAATAATGTATCCAAAATAAGAAATGGAAATAATAATGGTTTGTCTTTATCTTCTTCACATAAAACAATACTTGTTGTATTTGAACGAAATTTAGTTGCTGTTACAGGAAATGATAATGAATAAAATGAACATGCAAATATTAATAATGCAAATGCTAATATACGATTTGTACGTTGTTTTAAAAAATCTGTTGCTTTAATTGGAAAAAATACAGCTATAAGACGATGACTTGTATAAGCCAATGTAAAATTTGATGATAAAAATGATGCTATATGACTTAAATAAATTGTTATCATACAAACAGGTATTGTCATAACAGGTGCATTAAATTCATCAAGTAATGCTACAACAAGTATAAGTATAAATATAAGATCAGTTATTGCAAGACAAGTAAGAAAAAATGATGAACGTAATGATCGTAAACGTCTTTGTGAAAATACAATAATTGTTGTTGTATTACCAACAAGACCAGTCAATGCAATAGCAATATAATAAGCAAGTTGAAGTTTTGATGACAATGCCATACTGACATCAACTACACGAGCATTAAATGATGATAGACTAGTAGATAGTGTAACAGGTGAAAAAGTAGGCGTTAATGAAATTGAAGAATTGTCAGATGCATTGTATGCATCTTGTGAGCTAGAAATAAAAAAGAACATTACTTTCCTATCTTTTATTTCCGTTTACTCTCTCATTTTTTATTCTTCTTACACCGATAAAAAAAAGAATTTTAAAGTTGTAAGTATAATTATATTCTTTCAATTTGATGTTTTTTTTTACCTAACTACATTTTACTCAATAGACAACAAAGAATATATTTTTTTCTATTGAATATAATGACGCATTTCTTTTTCTTATTATTGATATTTATTATCATGGAAGTATATAGTTTAACTTTAACCAAAGAAAGAAAAACAAAGAAGATTCAATAGATATACTTATCTATTTGTTTATTCGAAGAGAAATAAGATACTACATTTAGATTTCCTACTGTAAATACTTATCGATTTACATGTCTAGAATACGAAATTAGATTGTCTCTTATTCATCTCATTAACAGATATAGATAAAAATCAATAGTTACATACAACAAATCCTAACAAATTGACAAGAAGCTTAACAATTATACTTTTTAAAAACATATATATATATTCTTTTTGTGATATCATTCTATTCAATTTCATAATTATTTCAATTTAAGGCTATATATATTATAAACTTTTCTTATACTTTCACAATTCTTAAGAGAATATAAAATAGTGTTAAAATTAATTATACAGATATATCAGTTATTCTTCTTCTAATATTACTAAAGAACAGATTAGCAATTCAAAATAAGTCTATCGTATTTTTTTTTCTTCTTTCTTAAGATAACAATCAATGATGCTCAAGGAGAATCATATATGATTTGTTTTGATAAAAATTATAAATGACGAAAAAAAAGAATTCTATTTATGTCTTAATAATTAATTCTCTATTACTAATATATCTATATTGTACGTTAAAAGGCGAAAAAAAAATTTCTCATTATCATAATATATAAACAAGCAAAAACAAAAAAAAGCAATACTTTTTCTGCTACTTATATCTATATATGTTATGATGATTTCATCTTAATGTTTATTTTATATCCACAAATGTATATGTTGATCTTTCAAAGTTTTGTTCTTATGTAAATATTGTTTTATTAAATAATATATAATTTAATTGTTGACGAAAAAAAAACTAACGGAAACAAGAGTATTTATGAAGAAAATTTTTCTCTTGAATTATTGATATTTTTATTTCCATATTGCGTTTCATCTTTTTTCCTTTCTTTCGATACAAATTAATAATATATAAATCTATGTTTATAACAAATATATGTCAGCTCTTTTCTTATTACCTTTGTATGTTTAAATTCATTTATTAATTGTTACCAATTGATTAATTTATCTTACTTATTAAAATTTGTATCCAATGTCATGATAATGTTAATAGTAGAAAAGAAAATAGATAAGAAGGACGAAAACAATATTATACAATATGTTTTTATCCTCGTTTGTTTCCTGTATTTTTTCTTCTTTTCTTTTGATAGATGAGTACAATATACAATATACAGAAGTAGTAGAGAAATGAAAGAAGTAAGTATTGATGACAGAAAGACAAATTGTAGATGATGGACATACTATAGTAATATAAAACATAGAAGGTTAGAGAATCATATCATTTGAACTTTTTCCTTACTAATTTATGAAGGTAATCAAGTGCAAAATAAAAACAAAATGCTAATCATAAATCGAGATCAATGAGTATAAATACGTAAACAGATGTTTAATAATTCTTCTTCTCCTATCTATCCATTTATATTATTAGAAAAAGAAATATTTTTATAGTGTAAGATTTTAATAAATTATATATTTCTGTCAACATCAGAAGTCATTTTTCTTTATATAATTGTTCATTTAACAAAACATATTATTTGCTTGAAAGAATTTCTTTAAGACAATATTTTCTTTTCTTGTCAATAACTAATTAATATTCTTAGACATCGTTAGGTATTCATTAGGATAGAAAAATTTTGTTTTTTCTACGCTTTTAAGAATCTACTTTCATCTATATAGGATATGTTATAGATTGCATGACAAAATTTCTCTTATATCTATTGTAGTTGTCTATCCATTAGTGATTTACTACTTAATGAAATACATTTAGTTTTCTTTTATAGTAGGTAGGTGTACATCCGTTAGTAATGTAGTATGAAAATAGATGAATATACTTATCATCATATTTTAAAATTAATAATAAAAATAAAATAAAATAAATTTTTACTCCATATCAAGGTTTAATTACCGTGTTGAAATCATAGTTGTCATTAGTATTGTAGATAATATCTTTTTATCATAATGGCATCATTGTTCGATAGGGAATAATCAGTGATGTGACCTTCATCATCATCTCACAGATACTTATGTTTCTCTTTTTTTTTCTCCAGACTTGTTTTCCTATAGTTTTTTTTTTCTCATTTTTTGTTCCACTCCAATCTAGAAATCGTCCAGAGAGTATATTTATAGATACGTCTATTAATAAATAAAAAAAAATCGACATTGACATGTCATAAATGGTAAATGAAGAAAAAAAGGAAACAAAATTAGCTTTTGAAATAATAAATTTCAATCTAATGTTTTAAATCATTCAATTTCATTATCTCTCGTAAATATATATTTTACAAAATAACACCTTGCAATAAATTAAAATATACACATACCTATACATTATAATATCCATGCGATCGAGTACTTGGTCAAATATAGACATTTCTATATAAACGATTTTTTACAAGTCGATAGCAGTTTACTCAACTATATAGTTAAGACTGATCATCGGATAAAAAGGGAAAGGAAACATAAGAAAGCACTTATCATTCTTTTCAAGTGAAGAAAAAGAGACTAATGAAAAAGTAAATATCAACTAAAATAGCACTGCAAGTTATATTATAACAATCTATGGAAAAAAAAATATAATAAATATCTCATCGTAGAAATATGTAATTTTCTTTTAAAAACAATAATTATTTTACAGTAAATATAGATGTATAGCGATATATTGCGTATCATAATTGTTGTAAAATGAAATCTACCGGAAAAAAGCTGTAATTTCCATGACATCTTTAGTTTAATGTCGGAAACGATGAAATTTAACGGAAAAAGTAGGTTTTCAGACATTCTACGTTATTTTATTGTGAACTACTTTTCAAGATTTATGACTGTTTTTTTCTTTCTATTTGTAATATCAGAGTTATAGTGCGTGTTAAACTCATTATCTATATGTAACATGAATCTAAAACTTAAAAAAATGTATTTAATAAATAATTATCTCTCTATACAATGATATCATAACCTAAAATGAAATCAGACCTTTTCTTGATTAATACATGTATCTTCCCACGATAAATACACATATAGTATTCAATGAACTTATGTATTAGAAGAAAAACAGTGTTTATGGCTAAACATATATATATATATACGTATTGTAACTTACATGCTAATATATTCAAAAATAATAACCGTTAGAAACAGAAGTTGTCGTACTTATATAAACAAAATATTATTACCTTGTTTGCCAATACATTGTCGATTGTGTTCTATTCACATAACAGATAACAAATAATATATTCGAATGTAGCTATTGTATGATTATATGGAGTGCTATCCAGCTGGTGCCGAGTTCCATAAAAAAAATGGCCCCAAATACTAAATGTATTTCCTTTTTTGTGTAATCAATCAAAAAAACTTCTTTCTCAATTGGACATTTGACAGTTTCCAACAATGCTATGCATGATTCATACTTACGATCAATCATAATTGTGTGGTTTTGACCTAATAAAACTCACATATTAATAAGTCCCAAGCGTCAGTTTCTTGCTTTACATTTGTTCTTTTTCCGCGTGACATATGCAATTAACAGTAGAGTAATAATCACAAACGACTTCTATTTGTTTCTTATTTTAGAAAAATTACAATATTGAAGAATAAGAAGAAAAAAAATCGTTACTCATTGTCAAACAGTCAATATTTTTCTTTTACTATATGAAAACGAGGCAAAAAAAGATATATGAGTTATACTCATGAACATAGGCAAGAGTTCATTTATCTCCGCAGTATATTATTATAATTATCAATATTTCAAATAGACAAAAAAATTGATACATTACAATTGTCTGTATCATATATTAAATTATCTTAGAATTCTATTAATATCAAAAATGACATACAGAAGTATATAAAGAGACTATATCCTCAAGAGAAATAAAACGTTATAAGTAATAAAAGATAACGAAGGTAGATCTATTTTAAAATATACTAAAACACATAGAAATGTGGCATTTATTTGTAGCAATGTAATCGAATTTTCTATAATGTCATTATCATTGATCCGATAGCAAAGATTAATATACATGATCAATTCTTTTGATCTTTGTATATATCAAATAATAGAATCATCTTTTTTTTAAAGATACATCATATGGGTATTTTAACATAAATGTAGCATAGATTGTAGTATAAACCATTAATTATAAACGGACGTAACACACAAATCATCATAATAATAGCAGTGCACTATCCGTTCTAGACTCGTCTATTAAAAATGGTTAATTTCCGACTGTTAATAACTGATAAATAATGAATACAAAGGGCACGATCATATGAAAAAAGGAAATACGAATGTGAAAAAAACGACAGACGTATCAATGCTGTTAATACAATACCCTTAAACCTTAATAAAATATTATAGTACGACGTATTTATATATATTATAAAACAAACTAGATATTCTATCTATTTAAATGATTGATATGTATTATAATCGTAATAATTTTTATTAAATTAAAATTTCATAGTAAAAAAACACAGATATTATTTAATTTTAAGACAAAAAAAATTTAATTCGTTTCTATAGCGTCAACTTGACACATTAATACACACATAAAGAAAAATTGTAAAAAAACACACACAAAATTTAGATAAAGCCAATAGAAATAATTTTAATCTTGATTATTTGTACGATGATGATGACGTCGACGATGATGTGATTGAGCACTACCGGGTGGCATATTATTTGAATTTGAATCTTTCAAATGATTTTCGATATTTAAACGAGCTTTTTGTAAAACATCTAATGTTGGTTGGACTAAAATAAAAAGAAACATACAAGCATATATTTTCTATTTATATCATATAACGAAAATCAAGCTATTATTATTTTATTGTTTAAAAATTAAATAATCCATTAATATTAGTATATGTATTCTGATAATACAAAAATCTTCTGTATTTTCAAGGTAATTATAACAGTCAAAACTGATGATAAAATCTTGCGGTTTAACTGATGAGAAAGTTCGAGTAAAAACTAATAATGTGTCTAGTTTTTATCAGATTCATTTTTTCCTAGGGCTATTTTTCACGATCAATCGAAAAATAAATATATCATAAAGTTATCGACTCATACTATCTATATATCTCTTACATCAATGGTTTAAGTAGTTCGAGAATGATTTCATGGTTTATTGTTATGTAGAAATCTAATTGTATTCGAAATTAAAGGATTTAAACAGTCTTCAGTAAAATAGTTGCTAATTTCTTTTTTGGGTAGAATATGTTCTAGTATAAAAATAATTCTTTCATCATGCGCAGTTGTTAAAAGAAAAATGGTTTTACCGATTATCTACAATAATAATAAAGAGCACTAGTTTTAATTTAGATACTAATAATTATCATTTCTAAAGATTTTTATAAAAAAAAACAACAACAAAATATCGAATCAACTAAATCTAGTTCATAAAAATAATAATCTCTTTATTGATAATTCAT